GATGGGTACAAACTTAGTAATCATTGGAAAGATGTCATCAACCATGCAAAAAAGATTTAATTACACATTTTTGGACCATCTTATCTGACAGGCACTATTTTACTTTACCGAGTGTTTACATCCCTAACGTTTAACAGTACTCTCTTTATTGTCAGCCAACACTGGTATAAACATAGGCATTTTCGTTCTTTTCTATTATGTACATCCACAGTGACTTGCGCACAAACACGTCGTTGACCACGACCACCCCGTCCCTCTGTTAGCCCCGCCCCCCCCTCGATACATTCCATTCATTGGCTACCACATTCTGATAAGCCCCTCCCTCCCCCCTTAACTGGTACTTAAGAGCTTACATCTTGAATCCCTCCCTCACTTGATGCAGTAAATCTGGCTGTGACGGTCCCACCTGATGACGGAGACTTGTGTTGCCTCTGAAACGTCGTGATTTTTATTGTTTTATTTTTATTAATTTTTATTTCATTTTTTACCTACATGGTGACTTTACCGAAAGAACTAAGAGTATAAAAATATAAAACAATAAAATTCTCACGACGTTTCGACTGCAACACAGGCAATGATTTAATTGTTTCCCTTCTACGCGACTTTACCGAAAGAACCAAGAATATGAATCCCTGCAGTCACGAAAGCTTTAAATCTAAATTTAGGTGTTAAGATGTTCAAACACCAGATATATGCCTCTTACAAGGAATCTCAACACGTCGGTGTTTTATTGCCAGCCAGGGTACAACCTATTCTTACTTTTCAGACTTTTGACTTTGGCAAAAAGGGCTCCATGATCGAGCTCACACACGATGGGACATCATTGAGTGTCGTGTAGTCCTGCACGTCAGCTGTTACCCCCGAAAATAGCGAACAACGTTCGTCAACCCTACTCCAATGAATGTGATGAAACAATTAATTAAAATATTATAAAATAAACGATTTATTAAAAACAAACACAAGGTGATTCCACCACACAAGGGGGCAATGCTCTCGCAAAGAAACGCTGATGCAGTAGCAGGCAGCTGCACCCCCAAAGACCCCCCGTGTAGCCTTCACAGACTGTTGGGGGAGTGTGCTCCTATGAAGGACGGCACGGCACACGAGGGGGCGGGTGGCCAGCAAGCACCACGCCCGGCCGCCTTTGTCTCCCCAGTGGCGATGTTAACACACCGCACCGGGTGCTAATTTGAGGCCGAGTCGACCTAGGGGTAGGCCCGGTTCCGACAATCGTCACCGGCGTTGGCCGTGAGACGTACTCGAACTTGGGCGCGTCGGCTTCGTAGCTACGCAGCGGGCGAACCTTCGGCTCCCCGCCGCACCCGGCCAGCCAGGTCTGGGTTCATCACAGCCACGTCTGGGTTCATCACATCCAGGTCTGGGTTCATCACAGCCAGGTCTGGGCTCATCACAGCCAGGTCTGGGTTCATCACATACAGGTCTGGGCTCATCACAGCCAGGTCTGGGTTCATCACAGCCAGGTCTGGGTTCATCACATCCAGGTCTGGGTTCATCACAGCCAGGTCTGGGCTCATCACAGCCACGTCTGGGTTCATCACATCCAGGTCTGGGTTCATCACAGCCAGGTCTGGGCTCATCACAGCCAGGTCTGGGTTCATCACATACAGGTCTGGGCTCATCACAGCCAGGTCTGGGTTCATCACATCCAGGTCTGGGTTCATCACATACAGGTCTGGGCTCATCACAGCCAGGTCTGGGTTCATCACAGCCAGGTCTGGGTTCATCACATACAGGTCTGGGTTCACCACAGCCAGGTCTGGGCTCATCACAGCCAGGTCTGGGTTCATCACATCCAGGTCTGGGCTCATCACAGCCAGGTCTGGGTTCATCACAGCCAGGTCTGGGTTCATCACATACAGGTCTGGGTTCATCACATACAGGTCTGGGTTCATCACATCCAGGTCTGGGTTCATCACATACAGGTCTGGGTTCATCACAGCCAGGTCTGGGTTCATCACATACAGGTCTGGGTTCATCACAGCCAGGTCTGGGTTCATCACATCCAGGTCTGGGTTCATCACAGCCAGGTCTGGGTTCATCACAGCCAGGTCTGGGTTCATCACATCCAGGTCTGGGTTCATCACAGCCAGGTCTGGGTTCATCATAGCCAGGTCTGGGTTCATCACATCCAGGTCTGGGCTCATCACTGCCAGGTCTGGGTTCACCACAGCCAGGTCTGGGTTCACCACATCCAGGTCTGGGTTCATCACAGCCAGGTCTGGGTTCACCACAGCCATGTCTGGGTTCATCACATCCAGGTCTGGGTTCATCACAGCCAGGTCTGGGCTCATCACAGCCAGGTCTGGGTTCACCACAGCCAGGTCTGGGTTCACCACAGCCAGGTCTGGGTTCACCACAGCCAGGTCTGGGTTCATCACAGCCAGGTCTGGGCTCACATCCAGGTCTGGGTTCATCACAGCCAGGTCTGGGCTCATCACAGCCAGGTCTGGGTTCACCACAGCCAGGACTGGGTTCACCACAGCCAGGTCTGGGTTCACCACAGCCAGGTCTGGGCTCATCACAGCCAGATCTGGGTTCATCACAGCCAGGTCTGGGTTCATCACAGCCAGGTCTGGGCTCATCACAGCCAGGTCTGGGTTCATCACAGTCAGGTCTGGGCTCATCACATCCAGGTTTGAGTTCATCACAGCCAGGTCTGGGTTCATCACAGCCAGGTCTGAGTTCATCACAGCCAGGTCTGGGTTCATCACAGCCAGGTCTGGGTTCATCACATCCAGGTCTGGGCTCATCACATCCAGGTCTGGGTTCATCACAGCCAGGTCTGGGTTCATCACAGCCAGGTCTGGGTTCATCACATCCAGGTCTGGGTTCATCACAGCCAGGTCTGGGTTCATCACAGCCAGGTCTGGGTTCATCACAGCCAGGTCTGGGTTCATCACATCCAGGTCTGGGTTCATCACAGCCAGGTCTGGGTTCATCACAGCCAGGTCTGGGTTCATCACATCCAGGTCTGGGTTCATCACAGCCAGGTCTGGGTTCATCACAGCCAGGTCTGGGTTCATCACAGCCAGGTCTGGGTTCATCACAGCCAGGTCTGGGTTCATCACAGCCAGGTCTGGGTTCATCACAGCCAGGTCTGGGTTCATCACAGCCAGGTCTGGGTTCATCACAGCCAGGTCTGGGTTCATCACATCCAGGTCTGGGTTCATCACATCCAGGTCTGGGCTCATCACAGCCAGGTCTGGGTTCATCACAGCCAGGTCTGGGTTCATCACAGCCAGGTCTGGGTTCATCACAGCCAGGTCTGGGCTCACAGCCACGTGGACACCGGGAGGAGGAGGGCGCGAGCCGTGACGAGATCACCCTCGTGTGGCCATCACGAGGTGGAGCAGGGAGAGGCTCCTCCGAGCGTCGGGCACCCTTCACTTGGTCGTCGGGGTCGGGGGTTGCCGCTTTCTCCGCGGCGTCTCAACCGAGCGGCGGCTGCTGCTGCTGCTAAACCAAATGAGTTAAACGACATTTTTCGCTTGTTGTGAAACTAATTATTTGGCAATGCCGCTGCTGCCACGTTGGCAACGGTGCACAAGCATAAACATCACAACCTCATCGTGGTCGCCAATGACAACTGTGGCCGTAAAACATGGAAAATAAATATATATAACAGGCGACGTTTCGGGCAATGGTCCTTTTTGCAAAGCACACGAATAAAAGTACCTATAAAAGTGTAAAAGTGTTTAGGCTCATTGCCTAAATTGTTGCATCTGTTTACTTTTAAGGCCGCACACGGCGAGTGTGTCGAGTTTGTTGTGGTTCTCATTGATCCGCAAGTCTTTATCTGCCTCTGCCCTCTTGGCACACACGCACAGCAGTTGCCATGCAGGCCACACACACACGCACCAAATTACTTTACTCACCTGACCCAACAAAAGCCAGCTTTAATTACAAGATAAATAACACGCCTCTGTCCCATATTTATCCCTCCGCATAAAAAACACCGAGACAAAAGTCCTATTTGCACACGTCAGAGCAGCAGGCCTTCGTGCGCCTTTACAGCAGCAGCTTTGGTTCCCTACCAGCAAACCCGGGACTGGTTTCGGCAATCAGTGTCTCATCAGCAGTCAGGTTTGCTTGAGACATACATGTATGGACGCATGCTGCACTCCGTATTTGCACGTTGAACTTTTTTCGCACCGTACGTAGCCAACCGTGCTAATCGGAGGAGCGTGAACGAGGTATAATGTGTTAATTTATTCTCCACAATGGCATTGAATGATTGCACGGCTATAATCAGGTCAGTTGTCTTGTTCCGTTGACACATGCAAACCCTGAAGGCCTGCTTGCTCCGTTTGCTTGGACCTCCCCACTTCAAAGTAAAAGCCCCCCAATCGAGAGCATCGCGGGAGAGGCAACGCAAGACAACCGACAGCTCTGATCTCACAGACACGCGGCTAAGCCGTGCGCTCCGCTTCGAACGTCACCCAACTGTCGCGTCGCGCATTTAAGTGAAAGGCACGGAGATCGTGCAGCTGTGATGTCACGGACATTAAGATAAAAATTTAATAAAACATTTAAAAGCTTAAAACTCAGATTGGACATCTTGGGACAGGGTCCAGGTTTGGGGTGTGTGGAACAAAATGTTACTTGCGGTAGCGGGTTCGTCACTTGAAGCGAAGGTTCGCACTTCAAATCCGACAGGCTGCCCTGCTTAATGCGGAGGGCGCGTCAACCGTACAACACCGAGGCGTCTCCTTCACCGGAGTGGACGCCGGGGATCCCGCGGCGTCACTCGGTGGAGAGCGCGACGCTGCGTGCCGCCCGTCGCGCCATTGCTCCATCGGGAAACGTGCAGCAGTGGCCGGCCGGGCCGCACTGCTGGAACGTGGCGGGGACCTTCCTCAAAAAAGAGTTCTCGTGGTTGAACAAGCGTGGTAACAATAATCACAATAAACACAATCGTTGGCGCCACATTCCACCATAGGCCCCAAACTCCCCCCGTCGCCCCCCGCGCCCCCCCCCCCCCTTGTGGCGTGCTACGACTCCTGGCGCCCGGCGTCGCGAGCGTGAGCGGCGGGGTCGCGCACGCCCACGCACAGCAGCATGGGCCAACACGGCATGAGGGTGCTGTACGCCGCCTTCTTCAGCTCAAACTCAAAGGTCCGCAGTGGCTCTGCATGGCCAGCAACACGGGGGGGGGGGGGGGGCGACAGAGGGGGGGGGGCAGGGGGGGTGGGAAACGCACGGGAAGGAGGGGGGGGAGATGTAAACGATAAACTATTTTTGTTTTACCAGGTAAGGCCCACTGAGCTGTGCAGCTCTATTTTCAGAAGCGACCTGGCCACAAATGAAAGCTCAACGAAGGTGGCTTATCACGTGGCCATGTATAGCAGCCAAATACTCTGAACGCTTGTTTATACATGTGGAGGAAAAAACCGGAGGACCCGGAGGAAAATCCACGTGACCACGGGGAGAACACGCAAACTCCAAATATACTGGTGTCAGGGTCGGGATCAAACTCACGACCTCATGTATACCAGGCGAGGTAGTTAACATCTCGCCACCGTGGTGAGCACGGGTAAACATCACTAAGGCATCGATTGTGTTTATATTTTAGCTACCCATATGTGCGGCACGTTGCCCCGCTATGCATGCGCGATGTCTGCGCATTTTATCGCGGCAAAATAACGTGATCTGTCCCGAGTCGTGAGCTACGAACACAGGGACAGCCGTCATCATGGAGCGGCATTCACAAGCTGCCACAGATGTTCCTCCGTGCGCACGCAACGACACAAAAACCAAGCACGCGACATGAGGCGAGCGTGCGCAGCGCCCGTGCCGGCAAGCTGGCCAGCGTGGTGAGCGGCTCGTGAGCACGAACTTGCCGGCTTGGAGGGAGGCGTGGAGCCGCCGCAGAAGCCTCCGACAAATGTGGCAACTACCACGGCTGATGCTGCTGATACGTGAATTTGTGGAGGGGAGGTGTGGGATGTGTGGGAGGGGGGGGATTGGGGGGGAGGGAGGAGTGGGGGGAGGGAGGTGCTTGGATGGTAATGTACAGACCCTGCTGCTCTTCCTGTGCCCACGTTTTGACTCGAAAGCGCAGGCAGAGTGGTCGGGACACTGTGCGGCTGCAGCAGAGCGCCCGGATGAGGTTTTCCGTGAGGCCATCGAGAGTGACTCTTGAAAACTGGACACCCGTCGCACGCAGAAGACAAAGCGAGGACAAAGATCCCCCATATAACCACTCACAGGCTGCTGGGACAGGTGCTGATAACGAGCACCTCCTGTGAAGGCCGTCACGGCACACGAGGGGAGGTGTTCGGGAGTGAAAATTTAACTCGGGTTGCCGGGTTGTCAGCACGGTGCGCTAACCACTGGGCCGTCGCTCCCCGCTGCACGCAACAAGGACAAACACAGACACAAAGTACGCCCATCAGGGCTGCCCAGACGTTCCTGGAGGCCCAGGGCGGAATTCCACGTGAGACCCCCCCCCCCCCCCCCTTATTCACTAGCGGCAAAATAACAGGGCTGTTGTGGGGCCCCTCTCTTGCTCGAGGCAATTTCCATATTTGCCCCCCTCCTCTGGGCGGCCCCAGCGCTTATATCGGCAGCACATGGTGCGCAAGTAGAATATTGTATGGGCAAGTGCTGTTAAGCGAGCGCCTATTGAAACAAGGTCCGTCACACAAGGGGGCTGGTGAGTAAACCTCCTCCGTCTCCCCCAGTGCTGTGTTGACACGGCACGCTCGGCACTCCTCTGGCAACCCAGAAGAAAGTCCAGACCAAGTTTATATACCAGGGACAACCGGCTTCACGTTGCAAAGCCTAGGGTAGCGGTTCAAATCTGGGGAGGGCCATCCGTGACTAAACCTGGCTCTCGTGAGCAGTGAGCTGGTGGTCTCTGCCCCGGTCATGAGCAAGCGCACAAAAAAACCACCACGTTAAACGTGGCCCGTCACTTCCCCTACTTTAGTCTACGTCTGATGACTCATGCCATGTTTGGCATGATTGGCATTGCAGCACTCATTGCAAGGCACATGAAATACAGCGCCCCCTGAGCCCCAGTGTGGATAAGAGGCCTACCGAAGGCGTCCGGGTCAGGTGGCTCAGCCGTGGAAGCGAGCGGCTCGCAATCGGTAGGTTGCGAGTTAAAATCCCGGCTGGGGTTGACTCAGCCCATCATCTCTCTGGGGGTTGATAAAATACATAACCACTAAAATCTTGATTTAAAGCTTTCGTGACTGCAGGAATTCATATTCTTTGGGTCTTTTGGTAACAAAAAACTATGACGTTTTGATCGCAACACAAGCGGTCGTCATCAGAAGAAATGTTTTTTGTTATTTTCTTTGAACCTATCCACATGACTTTACCGAAAGACCCAATGAATATGCGTAACCACGATGTAGAGAAGTCAAAAGTGGTTTGTCCTCCAGATAGACGGGTGGAATTCTCCGCCACTGGCTCAGGGCTGTAAGCAGGAGATGAGACCCAATGCCGCAAAAGTCACTGGAGCAAGACATCAAACGTGGTTCTGATATCACCTTCTGGAACTGTTCTCCGACGATGACTGCTGCGAGGGCTCCGAGAGGAAACGACTTAATCTCGCTTCGCACGACGCTGAAGGAACACTTGGAATATCATTTGAGAGAGGGAGAAGAATTTATTGAGAATCGTATTTGCCCTGTGCCGATGAAACGTGTCACCCAGAATGTGCACACAAATGATCGGATGTCACAAGCCAAGCCAGGACGCCGTTCGTGCCGTCGGGCTGTGCTCCGTGATGGTCAGCAGAGGGCGGTGCACCAAAACCGTATGTTGTACAGTACTTCCGCTCCATTGCCTATGCTTCCTCTTCCAACACACACCGACCGGCGCGGTGAAGCTCGGTCAAACAACTCCCACGAGCCGCACAGCGTGGGGAGGCCCTCACCCAGCAGTGGATCGTGAAAATGGCCGTGCATTGCCGTGTACCTTGTCGCTGTAGCTGAAGGACGCCTCCCCGGAGGTGTTCAGTACGTGACGGTGCAGGGCCTCCCACTGCGGGAGAGACAGGGCCAGGAGGGAGGCCACCTGCAGGCCGTCCATGTACATGAACGCATGGCCCGTGCCATCGTCCACCATCACGCTGTGGCACAAAGACAAAGGTCCCACCCCGTATAGCCTTAACAGACTGTTGGGGCAAGTGCTGTTAGCGAACACCTGTGAATAAGGCCGGCAAGGCACACGAGGAGGTGGGTGGCCAGCACCACGCCTTTTGTCTCCCTGGTGGCGATGTTTTCTGCTTCTTCTCTTGCACTGCTCCACTTTGGAATAACTTCCCTCCCATTGTCTCTTTTTCCCTGAGCTCTGATAACAACCTTCCTCGATGCACAAGCCAAAAAAACCGTGTAAACTGTTATCGATTAAGATTTCAATGGCGCTGTTTGTTGCTGACCGACTGACGTTTATGGGCCCACTGCATTTGTTTAAAAGGAAAGACGCGGGATTAATGACGACAAATAATAACTACTGATTTAGCGAGGAAAGCAACACTGAGTCGTGCAACCATTTTTCAGGAGGGTCCTGCATTGGGTGCTTCTTTAAAGATGTGTTCAGCCAATTAATGAGTTGTTTGCACAAGCGGGAGGGAAACCGGAGCACCCAGAACAAAACCCACGAGCATGAGGGGGGCAACGCTCTATCCCCGTACAGATGGAAACAGATGGTAGCGGTTAGTCCACACTCTGCTGCCCCGATTTGTCCTCGCGAGCCAGAGGTACGGCACGTGCTGGACGATCACGGCACGTGCGTGGTGATCGACCAACCCTCGCTGCCTCCACAGCGCTGGCCTAGAGGCAGCCACGTGCGTAGCCACCACTGCCCGCCCACCACACTCTGGATGTGAAGGGATGTTCGCTCCTCCACGTGCAACGCTCAGGTCCCGCGAGCGCCGCGTGCGAATACGACACGGCCGGAGATCAACAACTCTAAACTGTTTACACGAGGGAGAATCGTAAATTTCCCTGACCGGCGCCTTGACCGGTGAGTCACCGTTCTTATACGTGTCTCGTTAAGTAAACAAAATGATGCTTGTCGAGTGATTGAGCGTGGCACCACCACTTGGGCCCCGGACCGATGGGGCGGGAAAACACAAACAGGTGGGGGGGGGTGGAGGGTGCGGCCGCAACAGTGGAACCCCCTTTGCCAAATTGCTAAACCCAGCCGCGTACAAAAGGGAAGGAACCACCGCACTTTTGAAAACCGAAAAAAAATAGCAGATGCTGCAAAAAATAGGCCAAGCAAGGATGCCTGTAGGGTGGGCACTGCTTCTACGTGAAGCACTTAAGGGGGCAGTCCGCACACGAAGCCACGACAACCGATGCCGTGTCAACCGGGGGGGAAGGGGGCAGGGCAACCGTTGATGCACCATGCTTGGAGAGCAACGTTTGAGCCTTACCTCGCTTTGGCTGTGAAGCTGCCCTCTTCTGAGTTGCATGTCCCACGTAAAGCTCCGCTGCACTGGCCCTGCGAGAGATACGCACGCACGCTTGTAGCACGCCGACGCCGAGGCTCAAACGAGCGATTACTTGAATCACCCAAGAAGCCGACGATTATTACCATCGCCATAAACCATGCATGGCTCTTTATCTTTTCTGAATGCTAATTGCATTCTGGATCGCTATAACGGCCTGCCAAATTAAAGGCGGGCTTGACGAAGTCATAATAATCAATCACCTTAAGCAGTGCTGGCACGCACGCACGCACTTACTACACGCACGCGCAGGCTCACCCGCCCGCGCCTCGCAAGCACCGCACATCCTCAGCACCGTTCCTGCCGCTGTCAATTTAAACAACCGTCGCCTGCAGGGCACTTCGCGGGCACGGGAGTGAGCGGTGCGCATCAATCGGGAGTTGCCAAGCGGAAGCCCCGTGCCGGGCACGCGCCGAGGGCCGCCGGGGTGTTTACAAGCAGCGAGGTCCATTGGTCAGTCGCTTGGTGGGTCGGCGAGTCGGTCGGTGGGTCGGTCGCTCGCTCGGTGGTCTCTGTGGTCACCTGGGCAAAATTGGAGTCGCAGAAGGCGCAGGCCCAGCGCAGGCGCAACCAGCGTATTCGCACGACCCTGCAGCCGAGCCGCCCGGACGTGACCCTCTGCTGGCCGCGCGACAGGAGATCGGCGATTTGAAGAGTGGGCGCTCCGTCTCCCCAGGGGTCGCTCAGCGGGCTGGGAAATTCAAGGCAGCAACGCGAGGCGGTGCGAGTCAGGGCAAGCCGGCTCGTTAAGATTCACGTCCGCCGGCTTGAAGGCAAAACTATATAAGATGAAATGACAGTGAGCGATGGAAGGTAAATTTCGATTTAAAGCTTTCGTGACTGCAGGGATTCATCTTATTGGTTCTTTCAGTAAAGTCACGTAGAAGGGAAATAATAAAATAAAACATCATAAAATATTTATAAAAAATTTATTTTATGTTTTATTATTTTATTATTTCCCTTCTACGTGACTTTACCGAAAGAACCAAGAAGACGATGGAAGGTAATTAATGCATGACTCTGAACAGGTTCGCTGTCGGACGCCGCATGAGTCCCCCCCACTTCGTGAGTTCCGTGGTGGTGGGGGGAGGTAATAGTGTAAGGCGTGAGTTTGAAGCGCGGCGCGCCTGGCCGTCGAGTGGCGTTAGCGTGCGACGGGACGCGACGCGTGAGCCGTGCGTGCCACCTGGCCGAAGCGTCTGCGAAGGAAGTCACGTCGATGCTGCTCACGGGCAAGATCTTGCAGTACACATTCTTCCGCACGCTGCCAGGTGGAGGGAAGACAAAGTTCATTGTTCTCATCATGATTCGTAGCAGATAAACAACTAGGAGTGTGCCAATGGTGAGTCTGCAGTCGCATGAACGCGGACGATTGTGGCGGTGACAATGAGAACTATTTTAATTCGTCAGACACGCCGAGTTGACGATGACGAGGAGATGGCTACAACCTTTCTCGACCTTTCAATCCAGCAAAGGCATTGACGTGCAAATAACGAAGCCTGCTCGTGCGTTCACAGAAAGGCTGTTCCTGGCAAAATCCGAGCAATCATGAAAAATAAAAAAATTACAAAACGCGGAAGAATAAAATACACTCAGGCGCGTCCATGCCGTCAACGCGGACACCACGGCCGCGCGGTTCCACGCTCGCAACGGACAGTGCCGCCCCGCGCGAGCGTGGCCGCACCGTGACGTGCATCTCTGAAGGCGGCGGAACGCGACGGTGGCGCCGGGCAGCAGGCCGAGTGGGTAGACGAAGCGCGACGGGTCCAGGTAGACGCTGACGCTCAGCTCGGGGCTGTCCAGGTCCTGCACGTCAAACCGCAGGTCGGGGTCTCCGGGCAGCCAAATGCCTGTCCGCAGTGGGCAACGATGGAGTAAAAAGTGCATGAGCATTGCAAGTTGTTATAGCGGACAGCCTCAAGAGACTAGCCCCAGATCGCAGCCCCGATGAGCACGGTCGGCTACGTGCGGTGCGAAAGAAGTTCAACTTTGCACTCCTATCGTGTTCTTGTTTTGTTTGTCGTGGTCACGTTCTGACCCCGTGCCCCTGCTGGACATCTGTGAAGAAGAGCTTTATAGCTCATCGGATTCCTCCTGCAGTGTAAATAAATATGATGATTCTGATTTTGAGAAGCTGGTGTCACAGGACTAATGCTGAAAGTGCACACTATTGGCCTCTATCCACACTTGTGCAATGTACACATTTGGTATTCAATGCAAAGTCTCTTCGTTTCATGCCAATACAACCAAACAGATAAACCTAATTTGATATTATACTCTATGGGTCTTTCGGTAAAGTCACGTAGATAGAAAAATAATAATAAAAAATCACGACGTTTCGATCGCAACATGAGCAATCGTCTTCAGGTGAAAAAAGATACAGCAGGCGGACTGCTGAGGCAGGAGAAATATAGCGAGAGAACTACTGCAGCAAGAGGTTACATAGGTTTGAGATGGGTACAACCCAGGGGTAAGTGGGCGGGGCTAGAGATGGAATTTACAAGTAATAAACCTCGGCCACTGTATTGCTAGAGAGTAGCGTGTCAATCTGTTAATGTAGCCCCACGACTACGGTGCTGAAGAAGACACTGTATTGCTAGAGAGTAGCGTGTCAATCTGTTCATGTAGCCCCATGACTACGGTGCTGAAGAAGCCACTGTATTGCTAGAGAGTAGCATGTCAACCTGTTCATGTAGCCCCACGACTACGGTGCTGAAGAAGCCACTGTATTGCTAGAGAGTAGCGTGTCAACCTGTTCATGTAGCCCCATGACTACGGTGCTGAAGAAGCCACTGTATTGCTAGAGAGTAGCGTGTCAACCTGTTCATGTAGCCCCACTACTACGGTGCTGAAGAAGCCACTGTATTGCTAGAGAGTAGCATGTCAACCTGTTCATGTAGCCCCACGACTACGGTGCTGAAGAAGCCACTGTACTGCTAGAGAGTAGCGTGTCAATCTGTTAATGTAGCCCCACTACTACGGTGCTGAAGAAGCCACTGTACTGCTAGAGAGTAGCGTGTCAACCTGTTCATGTAGCCCCACTACTACGGTGCTGAAGAAGCCATTGTATTGCTAGAGAGTAGCGTGTCAATCTGTTAATGTAGCCCCACTACTACGGTGCCGAAGAAGCCATTGTATTGCTAGAGAGTAGCGTGTCAATCTGTTAATGTAGCCCCACTACTACGGTGCTGAAGAAGCCATTGTATTGCTAGAGAGTAGCGTGTCAATCTGTTAATGTAGCCCCACTACTACGGTGCTGAAGAAGCCATTGTATTGCTAGAGAGTAGCGTGTCAACCTGTTCATGTAGCCCCACTACTACGGTGCTGAAGAAGCCACTGTATTGCTAGAGAGTAGCGTGTCAATGTGTTCATGTAGCCCCACGACTACGGTGCGTTTAGACTATTTGGCTGCTGTACATGTTCACGTGATAGGCCATCTTCGTTGAGCTATTATTTGTAGCCAGGTTGCTTCTGAAAAAGAGCTACGTAGCTCAGTGGGCCTTACCTGTTAAAATAAAACTAGTTTATTCGTTTCATTTCCACACGTTAACTGAGGAAACTTTCGATTTAAAGCTTTCGTGACTGCAGGGATTCATCTTCTTGGTTCTTTCGGTTAAGTCACGTAGAAGGGAAATAATAAAATAATAAAAAGCAAACATCATAAAATAATATAATTTTTAAAAATATTATATAATAATACAATATAATAATTCTCTTTATGTTTTATTTTTATTATTTTATTATTTCCCTTCTACGTGACTTTACCGAAAGAACCAAGAAGATGAGGAAACTTTTTTTCTAAAGTCCCGGTCGACGTTAAACAGCTTCGTCGAGCTCACTCGTGTCACGCACCGCCAAGGTGATTTGTACAAAGTCATAAGCGTGCAGAAAAAAACCCCAACTTTGGCTCCGCGCAAATTACCTCCCCGACTGTCTCCAACAACGCAGATCACATTGGGCCAAGCCCCTCCACGATTGCCCGACTCGGGCGGCAACCCCACGAGGACAGCGTGCGCACAAGGCTCGCTAGCGCCCGTCTCACTCACCCAGGCGCTTGCGCGAGGCGGAGTCGTGCAGCTTCTGGAAGCGATCGTGCGGGTGGTAGCAGAACCTCTCTGAAATTTGACCGGTGAACGACACCAGCTGCTCGCAGCTGTTGGATTAGGGTGGGGGTGGCGAGGGGTGGGGGGGTAAGAGCGGGTGGGGGATGTAGTGGCGGGCAGCAGAAAGAGATTAGATTTTTTTCCCCACCTCTTAACCGCACGCTTCGGTGAGGCTGTGCGACCAGACGCGACGTCGCGCGGCAAAGTGGGGCCGCACATTTGAGGCTTCGTGCGACTGTTTGCCCACCGCCGGCTCCGCTGGCTCATTTGTCTCGGATGAGTTTCGTTGCGATGGACACTCGTGGCCGTCCCCTTGAGAGTGCACGGCGACATGATGTCATCACTCATCACACAGCGAGGACCAATCAAATACTCACAATCCTTCCACCCAGTGCCTGGCCGTTTTGGACAACCCATCCCAATTTCTACACATTTTTTTGTTCCTTTGTCAATATTATTGCACCATGCCGGTTCGCAAAATGCGTGTGATGAATCCTTAATGACCTTCTAGACTAAGGAACTCGCCTCGGTGGAAGTGTGACCCAGTGACGCTCTCCATCACCACAATGCGGCGCGCCTATACAAGTGTAGAGGTGATACGCGCTGGGATTAAGGATCGTATGCACAGTGCGTGATGATTGGCTGTGTAGGTGGTGACGCGCTGAGAGGGAGTGATCAGGTGGCAGCGCAGTGTGATTGGTGGAGTAATGTTAACACGCGCTGGGGAAAGCGGATCGTAGAGAGAGTGCGTCGTGATTGGGTCATTAAGGAACGACGCTCACGTCGACGCCGCATCAGCTCCGTCCCTCGTGAGCAGGGGCTATAAAAGGGGATGCACACAGGCGTAAGGGCAGTGTGTAACCAGCGAAGAAGGAAGACGGGGATGAAGACCTAGAGCCCTGCGGTACCTAGCCCCGCTGTCCTAAGGGGACCGGGACTTTGTGTAACCCAGAGGCGAGTGTAGTGGGTGTAGCCATAGGTCTACACGAGCCGAATGTACTATGTGTAGCCAGGGCATAGGGCTTACACGAGTCGAGTGTATTGTGTAGCCAGAGGCATAGGGCTTACACGAGTCGAGTATATTGTGTGTAGCCAGAGGCATAGGGTCTACACGAGTCAAGTGTATCGGGTGTAGCCAGAGGCCTAGAGCTTACACGAGATTAGTGGAGTGTGTCGGAGGAAGAAGAGAGACCACACGTTGTATTGTGATACCTAAAGGATTTAATAAAAGTGTGTTACCCGTCAAGAAGTTCCTGCCGTCAATTCCCATACTTCAACTGGCGTCAGAAGTGAAACGGTCCTCCAAGCATGGATACAAGGAGGAACCGTCGGACCCACGGGATTGACCACGAGGACAACCTCGACGACGCGGGCCAGCGGGCATCAGGGGGTGAGGAAGAGGAGCTGCCCACGGGGCAGGATCCACCGACGGCGCCGGTCGAGCGACGGGGGACTGACACCGTGCTTCGCGAGGCACACTCCCGTCTGGCGGAGCTGCTGCTCACCGCCGCGTCCATCTTGGCGGAGATCAGCTCGTCGGGAGGAGCGGGGACGGCGGCCGACGTGCTACAGGGTCGCCCTGCAGATTCCCGCCAAAACGATTTGGCGATTCCCGCCATTTCATCCGCTCCAACTTTTGGCGGGAACGGCCATCACCACGTGGCAGCGGTTCTCCATGCGCGGCCGCTGACGTCACCAACGCGCGCGGCGGACCGCCATCACACACCCGCCACTGGGGCCGCCATCTTACACACCGACGGGGGGGCAGAGAGGAAGCACGAGGAGGAGGACGACTTTATCTTTCAGCAGCGCCTTCCCACGTTGTCAGCATTCAAGGCGGAAGGCGGGGATTGGAGCCAATTTCAGCGCAGATTTTTGGCGCATCAAGAGATGTCCGCCTGGTCCGACGCTACGGCACTGCGAGCACTGCCTGCCATGCTGGACGACAACGCGCTCGCGGCCTTCACGTCCGCACGCAGGTCGGACCGCTCCACGCTCAAGGATGCGCTGGCTCTCATGGCCAAAGTCTACGGTCCTCCCTCGGCGTGCCGCCATCATTTCTACGCAAGACGGAAGGCGGACACGGAGACCGTGCTCGCCTACCGCACGGCGTTGCTCGCTCTCGCTGACGCCGCGTTCCCTCGTATGGACGAGGAGGGCCAAGATGCGATGGTTTTGGAGCAGCTGCTCAAGTTGGCGCAGGACCTGGGGGTCCCCATCAACACGGCCGACGACACCGATATTTCTTCATTACGGGTCGCCACGAGCATGCAAGCGCACGAGGTCCTTCAACGGAAGCAGGGGGTCGTCTGCAACGCTGCCGTGGCCTCAACTCCGGGTCCGGTTGACACCGTGCCCCAAGTCGTCAGCCCACGAGAGGACGCGTTCATCGCGGGACGAGCGGGGGACTGGAGGTCGGGGGGGTCGTTCGCCTCTGCGAGCGGCCCGCAAGCTGGAGCAACCGAGATCTCCGACTACTGTCATCACCTGCTATAACTGCGGCCTTCGTGGCCACGTGGCCTCCGGTTGCCGCGCCCCACGTCAGCGCGCCATGGGACCTCGGCTGGACGACGACCAAGGCCCCAAGTCATCACTGCAAACCCCGGCAAGTCGCGGCACCTCACATGCTTGGCCCGCATACTCGACACGTATGGGTCGTCGCGTTGCGACGAGGGAGAGCCGAGTAGAGTTCGGGGATTCGGTTCGGAGAGGGGGGTTCGGCCGGGACCGGGGAGACATTAAATGGTCGGAATTGGGGCACAGAATAGTGGCTGCCTCAGCGGGTTCATCCGTCGTTACCGGATCGATTGATGGGGTCGAGGTCAGGGTGTTAGTGGACACGGGGGCATCGGCGACTATTATTTCGGATCTCATTTATAATATTCTCCCGGTACAATGTCGTCCGCTTCTTCCGGTGGATGTGCCATTTTACGCCGCTAACGGGGGATCGTTGGGCATTATCGGTCAGATTAGGGCGTCCATTTGCATTGGTGATATCAAATTGTCGGGACCCGTTTTCGTTTCATCTTCCCTGGCGGTTCCTTGCCTATTGGGCACTGATTTTTTGGCGAAAATGCCCATCAAAATTCTCATTGATCAGCGTTGCATTGAACTACCATCGGGTCGCCGTATTTCATTTTTGACGAGCCCTAATGTAATTCGGACGGCGTGCGCTACCATTCAGGCGTTAGCAACACAGACCGTGCACGTGCCCCCGGGTTCACAAATGTTGATTCCCCTCCGGTTACGGAAGCCATGGGGGAAGGAGGCCTCGGAACAGGCCATGCTTTTGGGTCCTTCTAATAGGGCTGTTGGAGGTCTCGATTTATCGGTGGCTCACACGTTGGTTGGGGCAGACAGGGATCCGTTTGTCATGGTTTTAAACGCTGGGGCGCGGCCGGCCGTCATTCAGCAGGGCACCGTGCTGGCTCACGCGGCACGGGTCCCTGCGGAGGAGAGGCTGGTTGCGCAGGCTGATCCGAGCCCCACGAATAGCGTACCATCAAAGGAGGACCTAGATTGGATTGATATGCTGTGCGCGGACTCTGACGATTTGTCAGCGCTACAGTTGGGTGCGTTGCGCGGGTTGTTGATTGAATTTTCGGATGTCTTCAGTAAACATAAGTATGATATCGGATGCACGGACCTGCTACGCCACCACATTGAAACGGGCGATGCGGCACCGGTCAGGCAAAATCCTTTCCGACTGAGTCCTGCTGAGAAGGAACATGTTCAGTCGGCAGTTAACGATATGCTGGAAGCCGACATTATTTCGCCTTCTTCCAGTCCTTGGGGAGCACCTATTGTGCTCGTTAAAAAGCAGGACGGGTCCCTGCGATTTTGCGTCGATTTCCGCCGCCTGAATAAGATCTCGGTGGCCGACGCGTATCCGCTCCCCAGGATGGACGAGTCTCTCGATGCATTGTCCGGTGCGCGATACTTTTCGACTCTTGATTTATTGTCCGGATTTTGGCAGTTGCCACTCGACGAGGAGTCTAAGCCTAAGACTGCATTCCGGACTCCAGGGGGCCTGTTTCAGTTTAACCGGTTACCCATGGGACTTCACTCCTCTCCTGCGACGTTTCAGCGTCTTATGGAATTGGTTTTGTCGGGCTTGCAGTGGGAGACGTGCCTCATTTACCTTGACGATGTCATTGTTTTCGGTAAAACGTTCGAAGAACACCTCCAGCGATTGAGAGGGGTGTTCTTGCGAATGCGATCGGCTAAATTAAAGTTTAAACCGGCCAAATGCCATCTTTTTCGTAAATCCGTGAGGTACTTGGGTCACATTGTCGACTCTTCGGGGATTTCTACCGATCCTGCGAAGACGGACTGTGTCAGTTCGTGGCCGACGCCCACGTCAGTGTCAGACGTGCGCAGTTTCATCGGTTTTGCTTCGTATTATCGCCGATTCGTTGAGCACTTCGCCACCATTGCAAAGCCCTTGCACGCTTTAACGGCGAAAGGAGTGAAGTTCCGGTGGGGACCGGAGGAGGAGGCTGCATTCTGCTCCCTCCGGGACGCCTTGGTAAGGGCCCCACCCTTGTGCTATCCGGACTTTGAGAGTCCCTTCTTGCTAGACACGGATGCTAGCAACACGGGCATTGGGGGAGTGCTGTCCCAAGTCGTTGGAGGGGTCGAACGGGTGGTCGCCTATGGTAGCAGGGTGTTGTCGCCGGCAGAGCAGCGCTACTGCGTCACCCGTCGTGAACTACTTGCCATTGTTTTTTTTGTACAACAATTCAGGCCATATCTCTATGGTCGTCATTTCACGGTCCGGACGGACCATGCGGCGCTCCAGTATTCATTACGGGTTGCCCAGCCCTCGGGCCAATTGTCGCGGTGGTTGGAAGTCCTCCAGGACTATCAGTTCACGACTACGTACCGTAAAGGGTTGCGACACACGAATGCCGATGCCCTGTCGCGGTTGTTGCCTTGTCACAAATGTGCGTGCTTATCGGGATCGGCGCGCTGTAAACCTCCGGTTACGGAAGGTAGGGAGGCGTTGGTTGCGACCGCGAGCACACCAATTGGGGATGGTCCCGCTACCCCAGGGGGTCAGGACTCGCTGCTCTCACTGTCGTTGATTGAGTGGGGCCGTCTCCAAATGGCGGACAGCTCCCTGCTGGCATTGCGCCGAAAGACGGAGGGTTCCGAAGGTAGCCACGACCGAACTGGCTCCTACGAGCTTAAGCAGGGCCTGTTGATGAGATGGGACAGTTTGTCCCGGCGGCATGCGATTGTGGTGCCTTCTGCTGTGAGGGGGAAGGTTGTCTTGGCCGCACACGAACGCCTCTTGCATTTGGGAGTTAACAAAACGCTTGCCCTGCTTCAGCGTGACTATTATTGGCCGGGAATGGGGGGTGACGTGGTGAATATTCTGAAGGGTTGTGTTGAGTGCGCCAGACGGAAACCACCGCCCGTGGCAGCTAATCCACCGCTGCAATCTATTCAGGTCTCGCGCACTAACGAGCTCGTTGCACTCGATATTCTGGGGCCCTTTCCGGTCACGCCTAGGGGTAATAAGTACCTGTTGGTGGGGGTCGAATATTTTACCCGGTGGCCTATGGCGTGGCCACTCGCCAACCAGTCGGCGGCGGCTGTGACGGACGCCTTTGTCCAGGGCTACGTCCTGGACAAGGGGGCTCCCGAACGCTTGCTGACTGACCAAGGGAAAAATTTTTCGAGTAAATTACTGCAGGAGGTGTGCGACCTGTTGGGTACCAAAAAGGTGCGTACCTCCCCGTACCACCCGCAGACGGACGGGATGGTGGAGAGGCTTAACAGGACATTGACCTCTATGCTGTGCCAGCAGGTGTGTGAGTCGCATGTTGATTGGGACCTGCAGGTCCCTGGGGTCCTTGCCGCGTATAGAATGGCCCCCCATGCAGCTACGGGGTTTTCCCCGTTTTTTCTAATTGACGGTCGGGAAGCCGACCCGCCCATGGAAACGCAGCTGGGTCTGCCCGCACCACGAACTAATTCTAAATTGGCAGAGCATATTAAATTTAATATTCATAAACTGACAGAGGCAAGGGAGGCCGCACGGCTTAATTCGCGGGCTCGCCAAATTGCGAACGAGCGGTTGCGGGCACGGAAGGTGTCCGTGCACAATTGGGAACCAGGTGACAAGGCCTGGCTGCATTGCCCTCAGGCACCTTTGGCCACGTCGCCTAAATTGTTGAAGCCGTGGCGGGGACCCGTGGAGGTCGTGCGGGTGGCACGCCCCCAGTGCGTTCAGATAAAATGGGGGAAACGCCGTTGGTACGTCCACCCCTCCCGACTGAAACCGTTCTCGCCTCCGTATGGCCTCCCCTTGTGTCGTGAGGGCCGAGCATGTGACGTGACCGACGACCCTGAGGGGGAATTGTCCTTGCCTGCTCCTCACATGTCTCCGCCTGATCCGCTCCCAGGTGTCTCGGAACTGACTGCTGCCGACCACCGGCGGCCGGATCTTCACGGCGGGGCCGGTCCTTCCAGGCCCGACCCGTGCCGTCTAGAGCTGCCGGAGACACCGGACGGTCGCCAACGTCCCGTTCCATACGACGGACCGGCCAGACGGACTCGCGCTAGGTCGCGCTACTTTGTGTAACCTACCACGTGCGGAGTCGAGGCAGCCGGAGCGCCTCGGCACTGCGTGGGTCACAGTGACACTTGGCGCGTTCGTTTTACGGTGTTCGCTTTTATTGTGTTGTTCGTCGGGCTGTATATTGCTTCATATTTAAGGTTGTGTTATGTTGTTGTTGTTGTGTTACGGGGCACACTGGGATGTGGAGTTCTTTATTACTGCGTTGCGTTATGTTGTGTTGTAGGTTAACAGCCGGGCCGGCTGCAAGCTATGTGGGAGGGGGTGATGTAGAGGTGATACGCGCTGGGATTAAGGATCGTATGCACAGTGCGTGATGATTGGCTGTGTAGGTGGTGACGCGCTGAGAGGGAGTGATCAGGTGGCAGCGCAGTGTGATTGGTGGAGTAATGTTAACACGCGCTGGGGAAAGCGGATCGTAGAGAGAGTGCGTCGTGATTGGGTCATTAAGGAACGACGCTCACGTCGACGCCGCATCAGCTCCGTCCCTCGTGAGCAGGGGCTATAAAAGGGGATGCACACAGGCGTAAGGGCAGTGTGTAACCAGCGAAGAAGGAAGACGGGGATGAAGACCTAGAGCCCTGCGGTACCTAGCCCCGCTGTCCTAAGGGGACCGGGACTCTGTGTAACCCAGAGGCGAGTGTAGTGGGTGTAGCCATAGGTCTACACGAGCCGAATGTACTATGTGTAGCCAGGGCATAGGGCTTACACGAGTCGAGTGTATTGTGTAGCCAGAGGCATAGGGCTTACACGAGTCGAGTATATTGTGTGTAGCCAGAGGCATAGGGTCTACACGAGTCAAGTGTATCGGGTGTAGCCAGAGGCCTAGAGCTTACACGAGATTAGTGGAGTGTGTCGGAGGAAGAAGAGAGACCACACGTTGTATTGTGATACCTAAAGGATTTAATAAAAGTGTGTTACCCGTCAAGAAGTTCCTGCCGTCAATTCCCATACTTCACAAGTATCATTCAATTGCAGTGAAAAGTGACAAAATACTCAACACATTCGTCAACAGCACTGCCTTAAATGGAACAATATATCGCGGGGAACATATAAAGTGGCTGGCTTGTTGGGAAAATGCCCTTCTTCATGGCACATAGAGAGGCATCTTGTATCAAAGACATATAGAGATGCCCCTTGACATGCTATGAAGAAGGGACATCGCTCACACCATCACCAATTGTCATATTGTGCTGCTAGTGTAATTGCCCGTCATATGATGGGTTCATAAAAAATGAATGTAATGAAACAGACTAAAATGTAAACGTTGTATTTCATTGTTTAAATAAAAAAAATCCCCTCTATATCACATTTGGTATAAATTGACGATCATCTCCCAACAGTTTTCCTTGAGGTGAATTTTGTTCTCATGGGCTTCTGTATTGATGTGAATACAAAATAATGTAACTATTTATAAACCCGGAGGACAGATCACTAATTTTCGCAAAAAATGTGAGCAGAAGGTCACTTTTACCAAAATGAATTTGCACTCAGTTACAATAACTTACTGGATTCTGGATTGATGTGAATAAAAAAAAAGTGATTATTTGTTATTGATCGGAAGGGGAGAGGTCGGTGTTCACTCATTCCCACAAATGTTCACTGCAAGAGCGAGCAAAAGTCATCAAAGTGAGACTGCACTGAGGTCAACTTAAAAGCGGATTCTGCTTCTTCATTTAAATTTCTATTCGATGTCCAAAAAATAATAAACGATTGTCACACATACAAATTAATTGGATAGATTATTCTGTAATATTAAATGCCAACACGGCGCCGCACCTAGTTTTTACCAAAAGCGGCGCTGTGATATTTTTTAAAGAAAATGTATTATTTTTGTAATAACAAACTAATGATTAGTTACAATATTTATGATTCGTCTTTCATGAACAACAAACTAAAATAACAAAAATTGCATGAAAATCCACGTAGCCTAGCCAACAGCATTACACACGGCGTTAGAGTGTCAGCTGTTAGGCACAGATATATGTATCATTTAAGGCCACAGTGCTATTGACAAAACGTGTTGGGCTATTTTTACGTGTTAGTTAGTGCTTGTGCACCACTGCCAGCGCAGCAACAGCAGCATCGCCAGATAATGTTTTACCAATGACTGCAGCTCGTAGGCACGTTTCGCGTGCGCCCTTGTTTGCTCTATTGTCGTGGCAGACTGTAGGGGTCACCGAGGAGCGATGGCGATGGGACGTGTGGGTCAAGTCAGTGCTCGTGTTTAATGCATTTCGGAAACGCAATCAGTTCCCTTGTGACCGCTTCGCACCTTTCCTCCAAGACGTCTCTGATATTCATGAGGCCCAGACGATGGTCACCGCTTTCCTCTGCCCTCTGTGAAGAGGTGCTGGGCTGCGGTTCTAACTGATGGTAAATAAACAACATTAAAGCGTGAGACGACATTCACAAATGTTAAGTGCAACAACTGCGACATCTCAGGCCAGATAGCCGGATACTGGAGTGGCTGTTTGTGTTTCTGGGGGAGTTCGTCGGTTCGATACCGACCCTGACGCCTGCTGCTGTAAATTTGGAGTTTGCGTGTCTCTCTCTCCCCGTGGTTGCGTGGATTTTTCTCCGTGTCCTCCGGTTTTTCCCTCCACATTTAGAAACACACGTTTACAGTACTTTGGCTGGGAGGAATTTCCACATGATAAGCCACCTTTGTTGAGCTGTCATTTGTGGCCAGGTCACTTCTGAAAACAGCTAAATAGCTCAGTGGGCCTTGCCTGGTAAAATAAAAATACTCTTTGGTTCTTTCGGTAAAGTCATGTAGGTAGAAAAAATAATAGATCACGACGTTTCGATCGCCACACAAGCAATCTTTACTGAAAGAACCAAAGAGTATGGATTCCTGCAGTCACGAAAGTTTCAAATCAAGATTAAAATAGAAAGTTAAATAATTTAGTTTAAACCACAAAATGCATCCTCGTCTGCTTCACAAGGCAACGTCATATTAAATTAGCAGGCCATCGTACGAGCGCGTTTCGGTACCTGCGCGTGTGACGGGCTTTCGGATCTCCCGAGGCTTCGGATTGTCCAGTTGGGCATCAGCTGGATGAGGTGAGGGCAGCCCGCGGCCTGGAGGACCCCGGCGGGGACGCCCGGCTGAGGGCAGTACAGGGAGGCCTCCTGACAAACGCCCCGGAGACGCGCACATTGCAGGACGGTCGCATCGCGTCAATCGCTGCCACCAATGGGCCACGGAAACTCGTGACAAAAAATAAAAATCACTCGCATTGAAACTGCATCCCAGAACGTGACGAGACGGCCTCGTTTTGCCTATCCTGCCCCGGTGTGGTGCAATGCGACGCAGCTCCCGGCCTGCGAGCGGCCATTGATCTGCCAGAAGTAGGAGGTGGTGATTGCTATTTTGTAAAATCCAAATCTGTGTATAATTGTTCCAAGTTTGAATTGCGCGGCACACAATGGCCTACGTTCATGGAAAGACGTCACGAGATCTTTAACGTCGCGTAGTGTTTATTTGTATGATTATCACACCGGCAGTATTAACCGGGGCGGCCTGCCGGATGTTCGAACCGTGAACCTCAAGCGACAAGCGGCGACCCTGCCGCCGCTGGGCCGCGTCACGTTCACAGCCGAGTGGCACAACCTGCAGGCCGTGACTCGAAATAAAAACAAAACTATTTCTTATTTTACCAGGCAAGGCCCACTCTGAGCGATACTTTCTTGTCCTTCACCCGCACCTCCGATGAGCACGGTTGGCTACGTACGGTGCGAAAGAAGTTCAATACACACATAGCTCTTTTTCAGAAGTGACCTGGCCACAAATTATAGCTCAACAAAGTGGCTCATTATCACGTGGAAATGTATAGCAGCTAAATACTCTAAACGCGTGTTTCTAAATGCGGAGGGAAAAACCGGCTCCATAATTTAATAGGCAGGTAACAATTCGCCGATTCATAGATCAAGTTTGTCTCTTACGCTTACGAAAAACCCATTAAATAAAGTATTTGAGGCTGCATAATTGCTTATTCACTTGCTGCATATGGCGCGATGATTGCTTCATCGAAACCCGGCATGGAAACCCTGTAAAGCCCCATAGCCGCTGCGGATTGATTCTTCCGCGCACCACGATGGCAAAAAAAAACCCCAAAGAACCCCAAAAAAGGTGACAGATCGTCGCGTCGCGCAGCGAGTGGGTTTCTCCGCGGCCGCATCGCAACGTCGTGCCGCTGGCAGCCACCTGCTCGCTGGGCAGCAGCAGTTCGTAGGCGTCCCCCGGGTGAAGGATCGAGTGCCACCGCACCGCCTCCCCAACGAAGTACATCTGGGGAGAACACGAAGCACAAGCAGCGTCAAGCGACGTCCACCAGCAGCGCAGACGCCTCTGAGGTGGCACTCACGTTTGCTTTTTTAGAACACGCAGAAGAGAAGGGAGGATTGGTGGTGGGGGGGAAAAGGACTAGAGACACACGGAGCACTTGGCCCGCAACCGGTAACATCGCAAATTATAATCCCGTCACCCGGTGGGAATCCGTCAACAGTGGTCGCACCTCGAATAAATATCTCCCTTGCCACGCTGAGGTGGAATTTCCATCACTGCTTCGGGAAAGGTCAACTAGAGGAAAGGGGGTGCCTCCCCACGATGGTTTCAGGGGTAAAGCACTTAAACTTTTTTGAACAGATCTTCTTCTTGTTTTTAAAAGCCAAATGAACTATTCTATTCGTGGCCGCAAATCTCAAGAGGTAAACAATGAGAAGAGAGAAAGAGGGCGAGGAAGGCACGAATGAAGAAGAGAGGCGGCGTGACGACACACCTGCGTCGTCTTGCCCACGCCGGGCTCGCCGCCACCGTTGCCACCGCGTGGTCCGTCAGGCGTCGCCCGCTGCTCGTCCGGCACCGTCTCCTCCAAAATCCTCACGGTGGCGTTGAAACTCAGCCCCCGCGCCGACTCTTCGCCGCGAAGCATCAGCGCCTCCTTGTGCGTCACGACGAAAACTCTCGCCACCGACCCCCTTCCGCCGGGGCCCCCGGATGGAGGGCCGCTACGGCTGTCGCCGGCCTCGCTCCGCCCCGCGGGGCCGCCCGGCCGCGTCTCCCGGCGGACGCCGGCAGCGGCGGCCGCGCCATCGCCGCCTGGCGCCGAGCTCCCGCGCGGGTTTGTCACGGAGACCGAGGGCGGCGCTGCACGCTCACCGGACGGCAGCGCCGCCGCCGCCGCGCCGTCGTTCTGCGACGTCGCTGCACGAGCGGCCTGCGAGCGGCCGCCGTCGTCGTCGCCCCGCCTCGAGGTTTTTGCCGCCGGTCCGACGAGCTCGGCGGCGTCGCGCTTTGCTCCGCGCACGCCGGGCGCTCCCGGCGCGACAATCTTCTCGCGGCCTCGTTTTTGTGGCACGCGAAGAGCCCCCTCCTCGCTCCTGCCTCCAACCGTTCCCTTCGCCGCCGCTGGGCCGGGCTCGGCGGCACGCTGCGACGCTGCGCGGGCCGTTGGCGATGCCCTGCCGCTCGAGAGGTCCTCATCTCCGCGACCGACGTTCTCTCGGGCCTCTGGAGGCCGCTCGGCAGCGGGCCCGGCCTGCGCGGGTTCCGGGCGGCTGCTGCCGGTAGCCGCCGTCAACTGAACCCCGCCGCTCGGCCGGTAGAGCACCGTAGCTTTATCGGCGTGAAACTGAGCGTAGACCCTAAGCACGGCATAACAAGCGTGTAAGTGAACAACGTTACCAACTTGATAAATGCATAGACACTCATGAATGGAGTTGGCCAAACATTCCAAAATAGGGCCACAGAGCTTGGGCAATCGGGCCAGCGGCCAGAGAGCTGTTAATGAGCAGCAAGGGGGGGGATGATGGCCTTCCTCCAACAGCGGTGGCCGTGCCAACGGGGAAGGAGCAGCATCCGAGACGCGCGCTACCTTGGAGCGTCCTCCACGCGACACCTTTGAGCGCCGCACCGGCACACCGGGGACAATGTGACACTGATTCGGCGCCCATCGAGAGCATCGCTTTGAGTAACTGTGTGCGGCTTTAAAAGGCGCAACGGGATGGAAGCTGCTGACGGTGTGCGTGTGGAGAAGGGGAAAGCGGTGATTACGTGGGCGGCACTTTAGGCAAATGGGACTCCCAAAGAACACACTGAAGTCTTCATGACTGAGGAATGCAAGTACTTGGCTCTTAGACGAGATTTTTTTTTAAATGCTCACTTTAAATAGCTCTGTAGGAATTTTAATTATTACTCTCTTTAAAGAGGGATAATGAAGGCCGCTTTGTAGGCATTAAGAAGTGATTTGTAATCTTTGACAAATCCCAGGCAGATGTCCTGGGCAACAACCCCCACCCCCTCTCTCTCTGGAACCCTCCCAGACCTCCCAGGAGGCAATCCCGGAGCATCTGTCAAGTTAAATGAGCATTAACCCTTAATCCACACTGAACTCAACAAAAACGGCAAAAGTGGAACTCTTAAAGCCCAACTGGTGGACAGTCGGCAGTACGTCTGTGACGATTCTCTGTTGTTATGTTCAGGGTAACCCTGCTTGACGAGACAGGCAGACAGACCGGTCTGTTAGTCTGTTGCGTAAAAACCTCTTATCTAGAACAACAACAACTTTAATCGCGATGGGGAATTAGCGTGAAAATGATACGCGTGGAATTCGAGTCGATTAAACGGAGCCACAGCACGAGAGACCAGGAAGTCTATGCGAAGCTGCGCATTGCGGAGTGCCCGACCGCAGATTTGAGTCTTCGTTCGCGAGAAAAAGAAAACCCTTGCAGCGCCATAATAATCCAATTATATTCTACACCACTTTAATGTTATCACTGTGATGTTTAGCCCCTGTACGTTTCAAAACATCAAAGTCGTTAAAGTGACCAAAGAGCCGCAACGTTTTTTTAACATTTTGTTCTCGTTAACAAAGCATTACATTTCCACATGATAAGGCACTTAGTTGAGCTTTCATTTGCGATAGCCAGGTGGCTTCGGAAAAGGAGCTATGTAGCTCAGTGGGCCTCACCTGGTCAAATAAAAAATATAAAATTGGTTTAATTAAAACTTGCGTCGGGTAGCTTGGGACACGGCCCACAATAACGAAGAGACGAAATGTCTCTCGAGTTTGGATCGTGCCTCCCCCTTCGCTGGCGGCGACGTGGTGTGGTGGTGTGGTGACGTGGTGTGGTGGTGTGGTGACGTGGTGTGGTGGTGTGGTGACGTGGATGTGGTGGTGTGGTGACGTGGTGTGGTGACGTGGTGTGGTGACGTGGTGTGGTGGGGTGGTGACGTGGTGTGGTGGGGTGGTGACGTGGTGTGGTGACGTGGTGTGGTGGTGTGGTGACGTGGTGTGGTGGTGTGGTGTGGTGGTGTGGTGACGTGGTGTGGTGACGTGGTGTGGTGACGTGGTGTGGCGACATGGTGTGGTGACGTGGTGTGGCGACATGGTGTGGTGACGTGGTGTGGTGGGGTGGTGACGTGGTGTGGTGGGGTGGTGACGTGGTGTGGTGGTATGGTGACGTGGTGTGGTGACGTGGTGTGGTGGTATGGTGACGTGGTGTGGCGACATGGTGTGGTGACGTGGTGTGGTGGGGTGGTGACGTGGTGTGGTGGTGACGTGGTGTGGTGGTGTGGATGTGGTGACGTGGTGTGGTGGTGTGGATGTGGTGTGGTGACGTGGTGTGGTGACGTGGTGTGGTGGTGTGGTGACGTGGTGTGGTGGTGTGGTGACGTGGTGTGGTGTGGTGACGTGGTGTGGTGACATGACGGTGGCGATGTGGATGTGGTGTGGTGACGTGGTGTGGTGACGTGGTGTGGTGACATGACGGTGGCGATGTGGATGTGGTGTGGTGACGTGGTGTGGCAGTGACATGGTGTGGCGGTGGCAATGTGGTGACGTGGTGTGGTGACGTGGTGTGGTGACGTGGTGTGGCGACGTGGTGTAGCAGTGACATGGTGTGGCGGTGGCAATGTGGTGACGTGGTGTGGTGACGTGGTGTGGTGACGTGGTGTGGTGACGTGGTGTGGCAGTGACATGGTGTGGCGGTGGCAATGTGGTGACGTGGTGTGGTGACGTGGTGTGGTGACGTGGTGTGGTGACGTGGTGTGGCGACGTGGTGTAGCAGTGACATGGTGTGGCGGTGGCAATGTGGTGACGTGGTGTGGTGACGTGGTGTGGTGACGTGGTGTGGTGACGTGGTGTGGCAACGTGGTGTCGCAGTGACATGGTGTGGCGGTGGCAATGTGGTGACGTGGTGTGGTGACGTGGTGTGGTGACGTGGTGACATGGTGTGGTGACGTGGTGTGGTGACGTGGTGCTACCTGGGCTGAAGCGCGTTGCACGCGCCGCTCATTGCACAAGTTCGCACTTCCAGGCCCTGCGGCGGCACTGGCAAATAACGTGGGGGTGCCGTTGATATTATATACACCATCTGCTTCACAGTGTTCCACCAATATCCCGTGACACTCGTTTAAAAAAAGTGGGCCGTGCACGTGTGCCCACGACACACTCCAAGTGTTGCCAAAATAAAATAAAAAACGTTACCTGCAAATTTACTTTGAGAGGAAAACACGTAGTAAACATCACCCCCCTTCTGTGACGATACTGCAAACTCTCCCCATCTGTGCAACACGCGGCGTCGTCGGGATAGGCTTGTGCTATAAGAGTGGCGCATATAACAGAAAATGTACTGATGATTTAATTTCCTTTATAAATCAAATCATCCTTAAATCCTGTTACGTACGGATGTCGAACTTCTTCCGCACGATGCGTAGCCAACCGTGCTAATCGGAGGTGCGGGCAACTTGAAGTTTAAAGTAAAAAAAACTAGACGCTTTGTTAGTTCTGGAGTTCGTGTCACGTGGCAGAGGGTAGGGGGTTTGGATTCCGCACTCACGGGAGTTGTATTGTTTTTATGACGACGCAGCCTTACCTGGTGAGGTGCTGGCGAGTGCCTGTCGTGCGAGCATCGGTAAATCTCTCCACCACCAACGAGAAGCAGCTCAGACGAACCAGGCAGCCTGCTTCACACACCGCCCAGAGCGCCCGGCGTCACGAGCAGGATACGCAAAGAATCACCGACGCAAGAATCACCAAAGGCAACTTATAAACTAAACAATTTTGTATTTTACCGGGTGAGGCCCACTGAGCTATGTAGCTCTCTTTCAGACACGACCTGGCCACAAACGATAGCTTAACAAGTGGCTTATCGCGTGGAAATTCATAGCAGCCAAATAATCTAAATGCATGTTTTAAATGTGGCGGGAAAAACCAGAAGGAGAACACGCAAACTCCAAATATACAGCAGGCGTCAGGGTCGGCGTCGAGCCCACGACCTCCTGTATACCAGGCGAGGCAGTTCATATCTCGTCACCGAATGCCTGCAACAGTGGCCTGCTACGTTCATTGTTATAGAGCAGCAATGACATGTTTATCCAGGAAAGCCTCGCAGAATCTAGACTGATGGGTCTTGCTTTGGGGTATAGGTGTCTCATTAAGGAGTGTTTGTATACGAATAGGAAACTGCAACTTACCTAGAAAAACAACGACTGCACATACATTCACAACGAATAGATTATAGAGTCGCAATCATTACACACAAAGTGCTTGCCACAAATCAACCACAAAACCTCGCTGATCTCGTCAAGGAGCCTGAACCATCATCACGCCAATGCCGGCCAAACCTCGCAGCAGCAGCGGATTTTGGCTAAGCCATCGTACGAAGACGGTCACTGCATCGTGCACTTTCAGATGCGCTTCTGCGGCCGTCTGGAACGCTCTTCTTTCCGATAAAATGAAGCCACTGGAGCTGTGCACTCTTGAATCATCTAGATTGAAAACTCATTTCTTTAGCAGTGCTTTTTGTGTTTAGTTTGTTGTCCTTCCCCCACATCACCGATTAGAGCGGTTAGCTACGTACGGTGGGAAAAAAGTTCAACACACGTACATATCAAAAAAGTTCAACATACATACACATGGGAGACGATAACACGCACAAGCAACGGATCACAGGCGCACACCTCCGTGCCCAGTTAACAACAAATAGTGGCGGGGGACGCCACTATTAAGCGCTGTGGCCGCGCGTCCCCACCCCCCCCCCCACCCCCACGTTGATTGTGACTCCCGTCATCTCGGCGCGGCGACCGCTCGGCGACGCACCGAGCAAGGCGGTATCCCAGCATGCCATGCGGCGCCGACCCCCGGGCTGAATGGCGAGGCAGTCGAGGGCGGCCGTGTGGTCGACGAGCTGCAGGAGGCCGGTGCGCACGCTCGCTCTGAGCACGCCCACCAGGATCTGCGGAGGACGCACCAGAGGTCGCACTCGGGAGAAGGTCGCAGGGAAAGGTCGCGACGCCGCCCGTCGTCACGCCCGACCGTGAGCAACGGCCGCCCGGAAAACGATGGCGTCGCGTTGCTCTCGGCGAAAGAACGGCGCAGAGGCTTCAGGGACGCGACGTGTGCCGTTAACTTATCGTACAGTGCGAGCAACGCAACGGGAGAGCATTGCCAATGCTAGGCAACGGATTATAATAAAATGTGAGCAATTTGAGTGCAGCGATATTACTTATGTGTCAAGCCTCATTACATAAAAGTCGATTTTTAAGTTGCGGTGTTTCGAAGGCTGCCAATTACCGTTATTATTAACGAGCTCATTTCAAAGATTGTACTTGGCAATTTCCCGACGAGTGTGAATGACTTCGCTCGCTATTACCCGCCGCCTTCCGAAATCGCACAGTTGATCTCAAATGAAATGCTCGAGGTGTCCCGGTGAAAGGCCTGCAACCAAACTCACCACCGGTGGTTCAAAATGTTTGGGGCCAAAAACCGAAAACTCCCAGGCCTTTCTGCTCTCCGCGCTGTGGCCAGGCCTGGCCGCCGTGCTCGAGTCTTCCCTGGCCAGAGGGGGCTCGGAGCCAACAGGACAGCAGCCCACTGACACCTTGCGGCTCTCCTCCTCGGCCATCTTCAGTACTTCGCTCATTGAGGGCAGCTGCCACAGACCGTCGTCCGCATCGTCGGGCTATAGGGGGGTCGGGCAGGAGAACAACGCGACAAAGCTTGCCACGCGTGGCTACGTTGCGGTTGACAATGATTATTTATGGCCGCTTGCTAACCCACAATAACTTGCCGATCTCGTCAAGGAGCATCATCACGCAAATTCCGGTTACCCTCGCGGCGGCTTTTGGCTCGGAGTCCGCACTTTGCACCACGAGTCCATGGGCCCACAGCAGAAGTCGGTACCACCAAAGGTCGCACTACCCGAGTAGTCTCCATTTACATGAGGACCACCTCTTCATCACGCAAACTCTTGTCATCCTAGCAGCAGTGGCGGATTTAGACTGCCCATCACGCGCTTTCAGATGCGATTCTGCGGCCGTCTGGAACGCCCTTCCTTCCGATATTAGAAAGCCACTGGAGCCATGCACTTTTAAATAATCGAGATTAAAAACTCACTTCATTAGAACTGCTTGTTGTCCTTCCACACATCTCCGATTAGCACGGTTGGCTACGTACGGTGCAAAAGAAGTTCAACATGCATAAAAAGGCCACGTCGTATCGGCCCTGGGGGTTGCTTGGCCATACTTCCCCACGCTGGTCAGCATGGGTTGATGAGGGGGGAATCCAGGATTCAGTTCGGACATTGCCGGCCAACTGATGTTCGCCGTTGGCCGAAAATGAAACTCGGGTCGCCAGACTTACTGCACAGTGTGCTATAATCAGTGTGCTGTAATCAATCAATCAATAATACATTGTTTAAATGTCTATACAGGTCCCCATACTTCACATAGGGATTACAGTTGGTATGGTTATTTTAGTACACACAATCGACAGAAATTACATGAACAATGGGCTTGGATACTGCGCATGCATAATGTAAATACCATATAAATAACCCAAACGGCAATGGATACCCATAGTCATTTATATGCATTCATTAATCCCCCCCCCCCGCCCCACTTCGAGCAAGAAGAACACACAAGTGTTGTCATCACATCGACGCCTCTATTTAAGAAACGAAGCAGGAGGACTTCTCCACAAATGTGGCTGTCGCCTGATGAAGCTGGTTGTAATTACTGGCGAAACGTCGTACTCAGATTGTAAATGTTGTGGCTTGGCTCTCCAACACACCGGTTAGTGCTGTACTAGTATACTACACTATACACTACATTATACACTATACACTACACTATACACTTCACTATACACTACACGACACACTAGTGCTGTACTAGTAACGAATTGGCATGTTCTGTTTACATGACAAACCTTACTCGTTGGCTGTGCGGGTGGTGACAGGTTTTACGACACAAAAAAACCTGCATTGTGTATAATCAGTGTGTCCGCTACTGGGGCATATGAGACGTTATCGTTGACCACCGTACTAATAACTTAACGACTTCCGCTGTGTGACATAAGCCTGTGAAGATTACGCTTGTAAACAAGACGCTGGTTTATGGGACAGAGAGCGTGACGGAACCAACTGCCTTCAATAGGGGTGTCACAACATTCAAAAGGGGCCGCAAATTCGCTGAGCATAAAAGTTCAACAATAGCTAGCACAGTACAGTAATAGACAATCTTCTATTTCAAAATGAAATCGTGGTATTTATTTCAGTGTGCAAGCCTTATTCTTCTGGCGTTTGCAATGAAGATGAAGAGTACGGAGAGCCACCGCTCTTCATTGGCTACCTGTCGCCAGCGGGACAAATGATAAAATCATGCGCCTTTGTCATCGCACCTTCACCACCGGTTCCCCACCGCCAACTCCTCTCGCCTGGCACTGAAGCTCAAGGTAGAACCCGACGCAGCAGCAGCAGCGTCACTCACAATCTACTTCAGACACCAAAGGTCTCGAACTGTTACAGCCTCACGTCGGTTCTCTGCCGTCGCCCCCTCGGTGTTGAACTCTCCATTCCCTTTGCACATCCGCAACATCAAATGCACTCTGACTTTCACGAAACATCTAAAGGCCCCGATCTGTTTGATCATCCTTTCGAGGAGCCCTGAGCTCAGCTCCGCACCTCTTGAGTTGTTGACGTGTCGGCAACATCTGGCGCGTTATAAATGTCATCATCATTTTTATTATTATTACCAAGACACTCAACCGCTTGATCGCCAGTGTGCAACACCCCCCCCCCCCACGCCTCCGTCGTCCCACTATTGTTTAATCGGCGAGAAGTTGACGCGACCTCCGGCCCTGGGGTGCGCGACAGGCGAAACTCGCCTGCGTGACGACGCAGCGATGGGGCTCCTCCAGGATCTCGAGGTAAACGTCCCTCTTGGGGCCTTTGCGAAACAGACAGCCGGTCCAGCCGCGCTGCCACGACTCCGGGGCAGACCCGGGCGGACTCCCGCATCGCGGTGCATCGGCCCGCTCTCCCGGCGAGAGGAAGAGGGAGTGGACGACGCCTCGGTCGGCGGGGTCGGGGCGCCACCTCGTCAGGCACCGCTCGGCGATCAGGTCCGGGCAGAGCCTGCGCACGGCGCGCACGCCATCGAGACGGCACGGACACGGCAAATCAAGTCGAGCGGCACGGCATGCCCCACCAGCGCCCAGCTTTGTGCAAGGGAGATTTAATAGGAGAGGCAATGGCTCATCTAACCCGGGTGAAATAAGGGCTCCCTGTCTGTCTGCAAGAGCGCAGAAGCGTGGCCATCACATCTACACCTCTATGTAAGGAACTAAACAGGTGGACTTCTCCACAAATCTGGCTGTCGCCTGATGAAGCTAGTTGTAATTACTGGCGAAGCGTCGTACTCAGATTGTAAATGTTGTGGCTTGGCTCTCCCATACACCGGTGATGCTGTACTAGTGACGAATTGGCCACGTTCTGTTTACGTGACAACCCTTTACTAATTGGCTGTGTCTGGTGGTAGCAGGTTTTAATGACACATTTATATATTTAAACGATCTAACCCGAAAAAACCTCTACTATGGTTTATATGTTTTACGTATCTATATATATAAAATCGTTCATGTCTGTCTGTGTGTGTGTGTGTGTATTTCGGCCCATACGCACTTTCATTGGACGGCGGTTGCCCCTGGCAACGGCTAGCCACGCCTTCGCCGCTTTCATTGGACCTGGCAACGGCTAGCCACGCCTTCGCCAAGGGCTGCAGTTTCATTGGACGGCGGTTGCCCCTGCCAACGGCTAGCCACGCCTTCGCCACTTTCATAAGCTCCGTATTTAATTAAATAATAGCCATTACACAGTATTGTTGGAGCGCTAGGGGGGGGGGAAGGAACGCCACCCGTACCCTGCCTCTTCCAAGCCGACAATTTTAGGCGAGGCCGCAGGCTTTGCACGCTACTAGGCCTCGACACCCACCACGCCACTCTGAGGTAAATTCATCAAAGTTTTTCCTACTCTTCACTACACCCCCACCACAATGTGTGCTATTAATATTACTTTTAAACCCAACGCGCCAACAATCGATTACTTTAATGTTCACTGTACAAATACTCATTAAGCTGGCTGAGCGTACTGCCAGTCTATCATGTACACTGTAGCCTGCTTATTAAGCTCGGTGAGCGTACTGCCACTCTATCATGTACACTCTAGCCTGCTTATGAAGCTGACTGCGTGTACTGGCAGTCTATAATGTGGACTGTAGCCTGGTTATTATAATCGATTCTTTATATGTTCTTTGTACAAACAGTCATTAAGCTGCTTGAGCGACCCCAGTTCGATTCCAACTCACGCCCACCACCGCTGACGATTATTTGAAACGGACCTGGCCCTCCCCTAGGTCCACTCAGCCTCAAAAGCGTAACTGCTGTCGTGTGTGAACATCGTCACTGGGGAGACAAAGGCGGCGGGGCATCGTGGATCCAAGTCCCGGGCGAAGCCGGGTCATGTGTATGTGTGTTTGTGTTTATGTGTATGTCTGTGTGTCTCTATGTATGTGTGTATGTATGTGTATGTATGTGTTTGTGTGTATGTGTGTGTGTATGTATGTGGGTTTTTTTTATGTCTTTATGTGTATGTCTGCGTGTCTCTATGTATGTGTGTATGTACGTGTGTGCATGTGTTTGTGTGTATGTATGTGTGTGTCTATGTATGTGTGTGTATGTGTTTTTGTGTATGTATGTGTGTGTATGTATGTGTGTTATGTGTCTGTCTGTGTCTGCATGTATGTGTGTGTGTATTGTGTATGTGTTTGTGTGCATGTATGTGTGTGTTTGTGTGTATGTGTATGTCTGTGTGTATGTATGTGTGTGTATGTGTGTGTATGTGTTTGTGTGTATGTGTGTGTATGTGTTTGTATGTGTTTGTGTGTTTACGCTCGCATTACACAAATGTGTTGCTGGTCTAAGGCGTTCCTCGCACAGCATTGCCGCTTTATTTTTTCAGTCGTTTACTGCCTTACGCACCCTGAAAGTCCTGTGTGTCTGCAGCAAGCGCGTGTATGTGTACCTATGGACGCGCGCGCGTGTGTTGTGTAGGGGGAACGGTAGTGTAGTGCTTAGCGTGCTGTCTGTGTCTGTGTTTGTGTGTCTGTCTGTGTGTGTCTGCGTGTGTCTGTGTGTGTGTCTGTGTGTGTGCGTGTGTGGTGTGTGGGGAGCGGTAGTGTAGTGCTTAGCGTGCTGTCTGTGTGTCTGTGTGTGTGTGTGTCTGTCTGTGTCTGTCTGTGTGTGTCTGCGTGTGTCTGCGTGTGTCTGTGTGTGTGTCTGTGCGTGTGTGGTGTGTGAGGAGCGGTGGGTGTAGTGCTTAACGCTACGCTGCGCTACCAACCCGGCGAACCGAGTTCGATTCCCGCTCACGGCCACCACCGATGACGATTATTTGAACCTCCCCTAGGTCGACTCAGCCTCAAACGAGTAACTGGTGTTGCGTATTAACATCGGCACTGGGGAGACAAAGGCGGCCGGGCGTGGTGGATCCAAGTCCCGGGCGAAGCCGGGTCATGTGTATGTGTGTATGTGTTTATGTGTATGTCTGTGTGTCTGTATGCATGTGTGTATGTATGTGTGTGCATGTGTTTGTGTGTATGTATGTGTGTGTGTATGTATGTGGGTTTTTTTGTATGTGTTTATGTGTATGTCTGCGTGCCTGTATGTATGTGTGTATGTACGTCTGTGGATGTGTATGTGTGTGTCTATGTATGTGTGTGTATGTGTTTCTGTGTTTGTATGTGTGTGTATGTATGTGTGTTATGTGTCTGTCTGTGTGTCTGCATGTATGTGTGTGTGTATTGTGTATGTGTTCGTGTGTGTTTGTGTGTTTACGCTCGCATTACACAAATGTGTAATGCGGGTCTAAGGCGTTCCTTACACAGCATTGCCGCTTTATTATTTCAGTCGTTTACTGCCGTACGCACCCTGAAAGTCGTGTGTGTCTGCAGCAAGCGCGTGTATGTGTACCTATGGACGCGCGCGCGTGTGTTGTGTAGGGGGAACGGTAGTGTAGTGCTTAGCGTGCTGCCTGTGTCTGTGTGTGTGTGTCTGTGTGTGTGTCTGTGTGTGTGTCTGTGTGTGTGCGTGTGTGGTGTGTGAGGAGCGGTGGGTGTAGTGCTTAACGCTACGCTGCGCTACCAACACGGCAAACCCAGTTCGATTCCCGCTCACGGCCACCACCGGTGACGATTATTTGAACCTCCCCTAGGTCGACTCTGCCTCAAACGAGTAACTGCTGTAGCGTATTAACATCGCCACTGGGGAGACAAAGGCGGCCGGCCGTGGTAGATACAAGTCCCGGGCGAAGCCGGGTAGTACAGCTAGTGTTTTTATATTTTTGTTTCTAAATTATACTGCAATGGGATAGTGCAAGAAAATTCTGTCAACAGATCTACTTCTGATGCCACTTCGAGGGGCTGAATGAATGCCCTGCACAGTGTGTTCTTCACAGGTCAACAAAAACAATTTTCATTCTCAGGGCTGGAATAAGCTTCAATAAGTGAACACCAAAATTCACTCCATTCTGGGTTTTATTCAGTCACTGATATATAATTGGCTTTTCCGCCCATCATCTTGAGCACGTGGTTTAATCACGGCAAGCTGATTTGCGGATTGGACTGGGTAGCTCAGAAGCCCTAGCTGGCAAGATATTAGCCTGCCGAGCCGAGCAAGAGGTTATAGGTGTACGTTTTTAATGCAGTGTTAATAGCGTACGCGTTTTTTAATATGTCCTCTGGTGGACCACCGAGAGGGCAGTGATTTAATTCACTGCGGAATGCATCGATGTTAAAATGCCACATTACTATGCAAGCCATGGGCTGGCAATAGAGTCGTGTTTGTGCACGACATTATAATCAAATTAACTGTATGCACAGAACAATTTCACAACACAAATCTAACAAATCACTATTGGTTCCGGGTGGTTTACTAGTTTTGAAATTACTTCAATTTAACACATCCCACCAAGGTCGCGGCTGAGAAAGAACATCCTGTTTTCGGCCCCAATCTTTTCATTTTGTGGATAGAGTTTGAGTTTATTTGATGCGTTGCACAGATGAGCCGTTTTAACAGGTTTGCCGGCTATTTTTACACGGGTAGATTCGTGGCACGTGAGCACCACAACAACAACAACAAAGACAACAACGTGGGCATTGCAGAGAACGAGAAGAGGACCCTTAATGAATATTGCACAACTAATAAATAATAACGGTCGTATGTGAAACATGTGGAGAGAATTAAAAAAGAACGGTGCGAATATAATAATAAGAGCAAGAGGCTTCTGAAAAAGGTTAGGTAACGTGTGTTAGTAAGCGCTGTTTTGGTTTAATAGGGAAATCAAGAGTGAAGGGATAAATATTGCAACGAGTAAGAGGTATCTATATGGTAATTTTAACACGTAGGCTTTCGCGACCAATAGTATTCATAATAAAGGTTTTGTGGTTAGATTGCAGAAGAATAAATGAGTTGGAACCCTCCACCACCCGACACAGCCAACTAGTAAGGGTTGTCACGTAAGCAGAACGTGGCCAGTTCGTCACTAGTACAGCACACCGGTGTGTTGGAGAGCAAATCCACAACATTTACAAACTGAGCACGACGTTTTGCCAATAATTACAACCAGCTTCATCAGGCGACAGCCAGATTTGTGGAGAAATCCTCCTGTTTCGTTCCTTAGAGGGGTAGATGTGATGACGCCACGTGTGAGCCCTTCACGTGTGAAGGGGGGGAGGATTAATGAATGCATATAAATTACTATGGGTACGCATTGCCGGTCGGGTTATTCACATGGTCATCGACGCAGGCTACGCATGAACATTGTGCTTGTACCGCCTGTCGTTTGCGTGCAATCTATTCGGTGTTTGAACATCTAAACACCTGCCAAGAAGGAAAACAACTTGAACAGGCAACTTATAAAAACATCGACGCTTTGGTGACACATTATTATAGTTTCACGCTGAACTAGGACCAATACCTCACAGAGAGGATCCTTGCCGATAAACCATCTGGCAGTTTCCCAACATTGATCAAGCAAAGCCGGACTGCTGATGAGACACTGAATACCAACACCAGGTGCAGGCTTCGACTGCGTTGAACCAATGCTGCTGAAATTATGGTTTCCCAGAAGCCCGTGTGGCATATGGAATACTTGAAGTTGTTACGTGGAGGGATAAAATATGGGGAGGATGAGGAGGATATCGTCTGCTTACATATTTTGTTCCAAGACATTTCAGGTTTTACCCACAATTATGGAAAAACAGGGTCCTGTCACAAAGGATGTTTAATTTGACGATTCAAGAAGACGTTTAACCATGCTTATACAGACATTTTAAGGCCAGCTCAGTAGAAATTCCAGGCAGTGAACAACCTCTTTACCATTTGCAACGTAGCACAGTCCAGTAGAGTGGGTCGCAACCTTCCTGCAATTCAGGGGCCACTGCCAAACCCCAAAAATGTCTAAATTAAAACCACACCCGGGAGTCCTGTCAAATGTTAATTTAAAAGGTCATTAAAATTATTCACTTGCTTTTTATCGACTCGCACTGAAGAGACGATTACGCTGTGTAAAAAAAAAACTGACGTTTAGCAAAAAAATCGTAGGTTGCGTTATCTGCAACAGTTTTGCGGGAACCGCTCCCTCTGACCTTGCGGGGCGCAGGTCGGGAACCAGGGGCCGAGCAGACAGAGAAAGGCTTCGACGGCATTCGGAGAGTGGAAGCAACTGAAGCAAAGCTGCTGCACACACACGAAGTTGTGCGCAAGTGCGAGTCTGAAGCTCCACAGCGAGCCTAACCCAACGTCCGCGTGCGCACGTGTGTGTCTGTGCGTGTGTGTGGGGAGCGGTAGTGTAGCGGCTAGCGCTACGCTGCGCTACGAACCTGGTGACCTGAGTTCGATTCCCGCTCACGGCCAATACCAGTGACGATTATCTGAACCGGTCCTGGGCCTCCCCTAGGTCGACTCAGCCTCAAATGAGTACCTTGGTGCGGTGTGTAAACATCGCCACTGGGGAGACAAAGACGGCCGGGCGTGGCGCTGGCGACACACCCCTTCGTGTGCCGTGCCGGCCTTCATAGGTGCTCGCTAACTGCACTTGGCCCAACAGTCCGTTACAGGCTATACGGGGGATCTTTGCCTTTGTTTTGGTGTGTGACCCCAACGCACTTCCCTGCACGGCATTGGCGGCTAAGTTCCCGCAGAGGGGAGTCAAGAGCAAGGAACGCGCCGAGATGCACTGCACTCCGGCGGGCAGCTCGAATGACTGGCGCCGCTCCTGACGTTCGTCTTGTCACTCGGACTCTGACAGCAGGGGAGATGCCACTGTCACGGCTTGCGTGCAAAGCAATTCATACGTCTCGCTTCGACCCGCCAAGCAGTGCAACGATTCTGAGTTGTAGCCGGAGCTGGGCAGGAGCGTCGCTCAGAAGTATTCTCCGTGTGCACATTCATTCTTTTAACTTCATTTTTTACGGCCCTTTGTCGAGCCACTGCTGGATGAAACCCGCCCCACGCCGTATCGGCCATGGGTTTGCTCGGCCATACTTCACCATGCTGGTCATGGCGGGTTGGTGAAGGGGGTTAGGTGCAACCAGGGCCGGTTCGGACACCGACCCGCCATTGAAGTCAGTCTGTGACCGGGAATTGAGCTCGCTTCGTAGCGCAGCACGACCACCACCCCCGAGTCTGCACACGTTATAATAGACCGCTAGCTATCGTGCGGTGCATATAATGACAGCAATCAAGTCGAGTCCACTCAAACACGCAATGCCGGCTTCCACTCTCTCATGGCAGTCGATCTACAAAGAACCGCTGTGGACTTTCCACAAAAGGCCACAGAAGGGGAATAACATTACTGCAAAGTACACAGCGAATCACTTCCAAAGCCAGGACCGCCGACAGAAACCAAAAAAACTAAAAACATTTTAACATAACGACAGCAGAAATTAACTACCGGTCACGTTTCCACGGGAAAATCGTCTGTCACTCCGAGCGGAGTTTGAGATTGGCACAGCGACTGGTGAAGGGCTAAACAGCAAACCGCGCCTCCGAATGGGAAGCCCTCGAGTTAGGCAACACTCGGCCCTCGGATTCGATTTCGTGGCAGGCCACGGGGACCTGCTGCTACTGCTGCTGTTGTTGTCGCAGCATCCGCAGATCTGGAGGTGACAATGTGCAGAAGAGGAATTGGGAATTTTGCCGTGCAAGTATTCTTATTTCTTGTACGATTCTGCTCGTTACCAAAATGCATTTACAATCTTGCCATCGGGAAGTCACGCAACGATACGTGGACACTTCCGTTTGGAAGGCTCACGGCAGCAGCGGCGGTCTCCGTCTCCCCTCCCCACTTGCGCCGGAGAACGGCCCCGAAAGTTGATCTTAAAGAGCTTCTTCTCCAGTCACTCTTCGTCTCTACCGAGGGTACGCCTTCAACATTCTTGACGAGTGCTTACCGCTAGAATAAGCCAAGTTAAGAGAGTATTTATCTAATTTCACGTCGTGATTTTTTCCTTCCTGTTAATAGCAGCGGACTTGGGCAGGACCGCGCAAACAAAGGCGGCTCAAGGACAGCACACGCCACGGAGGATTCTATTTTTGTGCGTGGGAATATGCTCCGGAGCCAAATGCCTGCGAGCCACGGGGCTTCAGCAGAGTCCCTGTCGCTTTGCCGTTCCTCCTCCTTCGTTGGAGGAGTGAGTGCAAGACTCCAGTGGGTTTACTGCACGGTCCACAGTTTGGGGGGTGCACGGCCACTGTCGCGCCACCGTGCCTTGCGTCGTTCATTTGCCATTCCTGAGGGAGGGTGCGCGCATCGGCCTGCTGATGCTCCGGTGCGCGGCTGATGGTCACACCCAGGCGGACGATCGCCACGGAGACGGGGCGACGCGGCCAGCTCACGTGCATCGAGACGACGACTGTCACTGGCGGAGGCCCCCTTCCAGCAGCGGATAGAGCACGGCCGATAACGGATATTTTGCGCGGTTACCGTACACCCCAGTTGGCACCGCGAGATGCTGTGATGAAAGGCGCCATGTAAAGCCGTCGAAATATGACTCATAAATCGCTAAAACGTGCCTGGAATCGAACCCATGGATTGCGCCGCTCGCCACGGGGGCAGCGCTCCGACGCGGTATTCGGCCGCTCGGTCAAGGGGTTATTATTTTTAGCCAGGCACCGTGTTCTGTGTTCTGCAATGCGATCCAGCACAGTGGGAGATTGTGACAACCGCTATCAGTCACTCTCGAGTAAATAGGTCATTGCATGAATGCCTCAAACACCACCATTTCCACATAGCTCGGCTCCAAAGGCAGGGCTCCCACTGTGACAAATGTGCATGTGGAGTCGTAAAACCTTGCACCTGGTTCAAGGACTCACCGGACCGCGTGACGTTTGCCGATGCTTGCTCTGCACCAACACAACCTATAATCTGGCTGTACGGTCTGGCTCGCAATTAAATGCAGTTGCAACAGACAGATGGGGCGATTCAGGTGTGTTCGTGAATGCATGTCAATCGCATGCTCGACATCTGATGTTTATTTTCAAATTTACATATTTGGTTTTATCTCATCAAACAGCAATCAGTGTGGTGCGAACTGAGCAGTGCAACGGACAAAAGGTTACCCACTTTTCATATAAGAATAAAACATGTGCCCAATTAACATCCAGGACATACGTTTGGAATTTTAAAGTTCAGCGCTGCGCATGATTTCCCTATGGAAGAGCATTTGCTCAATCAAGGAGCGATATCGCGGGGCAGGGGGGAGAGAAAACGGCCGCGGCTTGATTGAAATGTGTTCGCGTGGCTCTCCCGGCAGACGAGCACGGCCCGGCGGAGTGCCGGGATAATGCCGCTCGTTCATATATAGAGCTCACAGAATTATTTCCCGCCAAGATCGAACGCGCACGCAATGCACGCGACGCACAGCCCCGCGTGCGTGCGCACAGCTCCGCGTACGTGCGCACAATTGTAGCGCGGTAAATGGAGCGGTTGACGCGACCGCGCTCGCGAGTTCGGCGCCCGTTGCGGAGCTCCGCGGTTCGAATCTGGCAGGCCTCCCCTGGTTAATAGTAAATACCGGCGGTTGTATTCACCGTCAACAAACACAACGAACCGTCTGCTGCACGGTGGCCATCAAAGATCTCTTGACATCGATCGAAAAGAGGAGGACGCTCCGCGCCGGCGTCATGTTCCAACTGTGGCAAATGTTGAAGAATGTGCCCGTCAAAAAGGTGACGCGAAGACAACATCACTCCCTGCTGCGAAACGCTCGCAAGCCACGTCTGTGAAACACAGTGCTCTGGTGACATTGTTGCCGCTATATGAACGGTGTGAATACCAGACACATGGATGATATCATATTAATCCTACTGGCTTCACTTGGGGAAAAACACTCGTCGCTGGTTCGGCCTCTGAACGCTGGGGGCTCAGCTCAGGCTTGATGCCACGCGGCTGCTTTCAAAGACGCGCGAGTGAGCACGTTCAGTCGTGGCTTGGCTCAGGCTCGGCTCATGGAAATCCCGGAGCGTGGCTGGGGACCATTCGACTGGACATCTGTGAAAAAGAGCTTATAGCTCATCGGATTCCTCCAATATAAATACATATTCTGATCACGATTTTTTTTTCCTGATTCTAAGAGCCGCTTTATTTTCTCTATCAAGGTGAGAACACAAGGGACCGGGCGTAGTCTCGTTTGCAGGAGCGACCTGTGTCATAAAAATGGCAAAAGTAAAACAAATAAAACTAAATAAAGTTAGAGCAATGAACAAAATAAGAGAACAGAACCCCATCGTGCGAGAGATAGAAAATATTGCACCAACATAAATCTACGTAAAAAAGAATACATTCCCTGTAGCGTAGGTCGGCTCGGGCAGATTATTTTACACTGAACGTAGCACAATCACATTCGTTCCAGAAAAAAACATGTAACAGATGTAGGGTGACGAGTATACTAATATTTAAATGGCCAAGGATATATGTGGAATGCAAGTTAAGCGCATGGCTTTGAGTCAGCTCCACTGAGCCAGCCAGAGCCAAGCCTGAGCTGAGCCGTGACTAAGTATAGAGGCTTCGGTCTTCACTCACTCAAAGATCTTCACTTTCCAAGAAGCAAAGTGAATTTCCGGCGTTGGCAACGCCTAATAATGTAACGCGTAGTAGTCGTAGTAGTATACAACAACTCTGCAGTTGAAATCCGCAGTGCCTGCACAATTTGTTATGAAAACTGTTTAACCTATTTAAACATTTCCCAAACACGCTCTTAACATATCTTGGTTAAATATAACAAAAATAAATCTGTCACCCCTCTGTCAGCCCACCGCTGGATGAAGGCGTCCTCACATCGTAGCGGTCATGGGAGTTGTTTGACCATACTTCACCACACCAGTCAGTTGTCAATGCGGGTTGGTTAAGGGGTGGGATACGTCCAGGATTGGTTTCAGATGTTATTCGTCACTGATTTTATTCATGAAATTAATTCAACAAAGCTCCTCATGCGAATTCACGCAGCACACCTGAATTAGTAAGTATTATTTTCCAATTGCGTATGCCTCAATAGTACAGAAAATGGCTATTATTCCCCAAAAACTTTGCTTTTGTGACCAGGACAGTGATATTTAGAAATTTACCGATTTTCAATGAGAAAACAGGCGAATTTGTGTATTTTCGTTCACATAAAGTCCACCAGTGGCTCCCACTTGATGTTGTTCCTCCCCACAGAGAACTCAGTCCGCTGTGGCCAGTCCCGCCTGTGGCAGTGGGCCTTGGTGTCCCTGCTGTCCCAAAGGCAAAGATAGCAGGGAAACCGCCTTGGAGACCCATCAGGAATGCCACATTTTGAAGTCCCCGATGACCTCCCAGCCATACTCATCATACTTCAAGGCGTCCAGCAAGGTCCTGGTGCTGTTGTAATTCTCTTTGAGGTGCACTGAGTAAGCCAGGAGAAGAGACGGGTACTTGTTACCATTGTGGAGCAGCACGGCTTTGAGGCTCCTGGATGAGCTGTCAATGAAGAGGCGCCACTCATTCTGGTTACAGGCGATTCCGATTGCCTCGAACAGACTGGTCACATTGTGGCAGAAGCAGAGCCCATCTTGACGGGTGAAGAAGCTGCAAAAAGGTTCATGACACTTCCTCTGATCTGCAACTTGCACACTTTCATCCAACAAATTCCACTGCTTGAGCCTGGATGTCAAAAGCTGGGCATTGGACTTGGTGAGACAAAGATCTCCGATCAAGTCGTTGAGGTCTTTTTGGTTGGGATATTATGGGTTTCTCTCCTTAACTCCACCTCTGAAATTGTCATCTGGATCTACAAAGTCTCCCTCGCTCTCTGACTTGCTGCTCTCTTCTAAAGACGGCTGGTCTCTCTCCGGAGGAGTGGGTACAGGGAGCTCATGGTAGTGTGGCACCGGGGCGATGGATGAGGGCAGGTCCGGATACGTGATAGCAGGTGCATTCTTGCCAGTCCTACGTTTGGAAGGGTGTCCCCCATGCAGATGTAGCAGTTGCTTGAGTGGTCAGTGGGTTCCCGCCAAATTATTGGGATAGCAAACTTCATGGCTCTCTTTTTCCCCTCTGTACCATCCTACAAAAATAAATTTATTTCACCCACGACTAATGTTCAAAAGATTCTCGCAACATTTTTCATATATGATATATTTTTTTAATAACATTGAAAATTGTAAAACATTTGAAGATTAAAAACTTTTACAATTCATAAAATTGTAACAAATTTTATAACGTAAATTTCCGAGCAACAATTGTCCATCTTACCTTCCAGAGTTTTTTTTGCATTGCTCGCAGGTGAAATGAGGTCCCCAGGGTTTGTCTTGATCCCCAACAGGCATGCCGAAATATGCCTTGTAGGCCTCGCACATCTTAGCAGATGCTTCCACAGAGTACTTTTTCGCTCTTGTCTTGATAAATTGGCCGCAGACAGAAAAATGCGTCTGCAGGATGCTTGCAGCCTCTTGATGCCATCTCATAAAAATGCGGCAGCTGGAACTAAACTGAACTGGTGGGCTTACGGCCCCTGTATTTATACTACTATTTATATCACTGGAAAGTTCTAGAATGTTCTAGAAGTTACTCCATGTTTACTCAGCACTGAATCTATCTGGAATGTTCTGGAAAATAGGTACATTTCAAAATATCACTGTCCTGGTCACAAAAGCAAAGTTTGTGGGGAGTAATAGCCATTTTCTGTACTTTTGAGGCATACGCAATTAGGAAAAACGCTTACTACCCTGGAACATAAAAAAATGTTACACTGTTATTACACAACTGAAAAATGTTTGGCATGGACAAAGATTCCCCCCTATACAGACTGTTGGGGCAAGTGCTGTTCGCGAGCACCTATGCAGGCCAGCACGACACACGAGGGGGTGGGTGGCCAACACCACGCCCGACCGCCTTTGTCTCCTTAGTGGTAATTTTAACAGATCGCACCAGGTACTCATTTGAGGCTGAGTCGACCTAGGGAAGGCCCAGGACCGGTTCGGATAATCATCACCGGTGTTGACCGTGAGCAGGAATCGAACCTGGGTCGCCAGGTTCGTAGCGCAGTGTGCTAACCGCCACAGTACCGCTCATCACACACACGTGCGCAAAGCGGTTGTAACAAAACAATTGGGAAATTCTCCAGATTACAATTTCAACAGTTTAAGGGAAATGCCACTGAAAGCACATAAACAAGGGCGCGCACACACACACTTACAAAACCTCGCTGAATGCTTTTGCATTTTCAATTTAAAACCTGTGTGACGCTGACATTGAACTCTTGTAGTTCATAATTACTCTACCATGCAAGCAATGCACGCAAGGGGTTTTTCATCTTGGTCGAAGAAAATGTCCATGAGTTAACAGCTGTCAAAGAAATACAATTTTTCAATCCGACGCTTTCACAAAAATCATTATCTCTGTACCCTATTGCATCCCAAGCGATGTTAGCAAAAAAAATATCCCCCCACAAAAGAACGGTCTTTCGTGTGCATACGCCATCCATTTGCGCTGTCATTTCCACTATCGCCTTTCAGCAACAAGGCCCGATTCGAGCAACGCACACAAGCACTCCGGCAAACAAAGTGCACTTCAAGTGGCAAAGTTTCTCCTTCATATTCTATTTTGTTTCGCTTCGTTATATTTCATTCCATTTCATCTACGGCTTGGCCGCGTGACGCACGCACGTCAGCACGCATTTAATACCGCGTTGTGTGCCGTCGTCCCATTTCCCCGTCACCCAACGCCCAGGCCCCCTCCTCGCCCACGCTCCATACCTCCCCTAAACCTGCAATCCTCGCACCCGGCCGTACGCAACGACTGCTCACCAAGAGAACGAGTGGATTTTAAGCATCCGCCTACTTTGTCTGCGTCTCTATCGGTGCGAGTCGTCTCTGCGCGCGTGCGTGTGTGTGTGTGCCCCGCCATTCTCTGTATCGTGGGTGTCTCTTGTCTGCACGGATGTCTGTTAAGTCTGCGTTGTTGTCTCTGTGCGCATAAATGGACATTAGTTATGTGGTGAAATGCATTTGTCACGATTTCTATACAATATATATAAATTATTACAAACACAGAAAACCTTTGTAGAATACTGCCTTGGCTAGTTCTGAGTAAATCAGCATAGCTCAGCACAGTTCTTTAGTCCAAGCAATTATTTAGCAATAGAAAATGTAGTCATTACGAATAACCTATTTTGAAAATATAAATACAAAGACAAAGGAATACCACAATCTTTTCAGACTGTCAGAGCAAGTGCCTTCATTGAGAACCTACTAAGGGGGGCAGGTCGCACGAGGTGGTATGGCCAATGCCATGCCGAACGGTCTTTGTCTCCCCCAGTGCTAATATTTACTCACTGCATCAGGTACTTACTTAAGCCTGTGGTGTGACCCAAAGGAGGCCCAGAGGTTCACAGATCACTTTCCACGGATGTTATCGACGGGTGAAAATGAACCGAGTCCATGAACCACATGTCCAACGCTGCACACTACCGGTATATTTAACTTATGTACATACAAAGATCCCCCATGCAGCCTTTAACAGACTGTTGGGACAAGTGCTGTTAGCGACCACCCATGGGTGGCCAGCATCACACTTTGTCTCCCCAGTGCTAAATAAATACACACACAACGCATTTCAGAATATACACAAACTGGGAACAACATAATAGAGCAAACTAATATTTGTAGACAAAAAGACTTGACTCATTGGCCATCTATTATTGACCGATCTACCCAAATGTATACAGTGCATTACAGCACATTAAAGTGCTCCCCCAACCTTCCTCCTGAACTAAGCGACTCTCCTTTTACTCCAACAACTCTGCTCTTGCGTCCAAAAAATCACAGCGATGTAACTGTCCCCTGTAAGGTGTAATAAGACCACAGAAGGCGCGCCCTCGCTCAGACACACAGCTGCTTCAACACGGAATGATCTCCCAGACCCTAAACTATGCCGCCACTGTCTATCGATTTCAAAATTGCTTCAATAATAACTTCCTTGCACAACATTCGCCATTGTTACAGCACGGGTGCATTCTGTACGAACCGGCAATGCGCACCACTGATTTGTTTAGGTATGTATTTATGTATTTTGCCCGCTGTGAAGTTCATTGTATAAACGCATAGCACACCGTGTAGGTTTCACGACGTTTGTTGTACGAATCATCGGGGGTGTTCCCTCTCGATACGTCAATCGACACCCTGGAAACGCTTGCAAATGAGACGTTCCATCTCAAAGGATGGGTTCCAGGTGACATAATTTGTATGTAAGTGATCACAATTGCTTGTGTAATAACACGGTCTGCTGCTGCAATGCTGGCCAGACGTGCCCTGGAGGCAGCGTGGCGATGCCCTGCGTTGTGTCCACCCCCCCCCCCCTTCTGGCAAACGGTCTGGCTGTGCCGTGTCCCAGAGACGAGCTGGAAATGGAGCCCAACTGGCAGGTGGAGTTCATTTATAAACTCAGAGAATAGTGGGCCTCCATACCACACTTCCGCTGCAGTCTAGGCAACACTGCAGGTGGTGGGGATGACCCTGGCAAAAAAATGCTCAAGGGGGTGTGTCTACAGGACAGGGGGTGTGTCTACAGGACAGGGGGTGTGTCTACAGGACAGGGGGTGTGTCTACAGGACAGGGGGTGTGTCTACAGGACAGGGGGTGTGTCTACAGGACAGGGGGTGTGTCTACAGGACAGGGGGTGGAGCTACAGGACAGGGGGTGGAGCTACAGGACAGGGGGTGTGTCTACAGGACAGGGGGTGTGTCTACAGGACAGGGGGTGGAGCTACAGGACAGGGGGTGGGCTACAGGACAGGGGGTGGGGCTACAGGACAGGGGGTGGGGCTAGAGGACAGGGGGTGGGGCTACAGGACAGAGGGTTGGGCTAGAGGACAGGGGGTGTCGCTACTGTATATCTGTGAAAAAGAGCATTATAGCTCATTGGATTCGTCCAGGAAAAAGATTCTGATTCTGACATGACAGGGGGCAGGCAATCAGTGGAAACTGATCCTTCATTCTAGATTTGAAGCTTTCGTGACTGCAATGATTCATATTCTTAGGTTTTTTCGGTAAAGTCACGTAGGTAAAACATCAAAATTAATAAAAATAAAATAAAGATCACGACGTTTCGGAGGCAACACAAGTCTCCGTCATCAGGTGGGACCGTCACAGCCAGATTAGCTGCATCAAGTGAGGCAATGATTCAAGATGTAATCCTCGCTTTTTAAGGGATTACATCTTGAATCATTGCCTCACTTGATGCAGCTAATCTGGCTGTGACGGTCCCACCTGATGACGGAGACTTGTGTTGCCTCCGAAACGTCGTGATCTCTATTTTATTTTATTTTTTATTAATTTTGATGTTTTACCTACCTGATTTTACCGAAAAAACCTAAAAAAACTGATCCTTCAGTTACATTCTAAACTCTGGGTGCAAAGGTACTGTGACAATCCATTCACGTAATCCTACACACTCGTTCCATGCGCAGGTACTTACACATTTAATAAAAACATATGGGGTTCCTATTTCAGAAATACAAGATGGCCTTTGTTAGTGAGTAGGGAAAAGGCGCCGTGGTGCTAGAGGCGGCAGCACCAACCCCAACCGTGTACGCGTCCGGGCTGCGTGGTTTGGTTGAGACCCCCCCCCGCCGCCCCAGTAATCAGAGAAAGCCATTCCAGCATTGGAGCCACGACCGCCAGAACAGACTTCTCACGACGACCACTTGACCAGTCTCCACCAACTCCGGTGTCAAAGCAAGAGACAAAAAGCTCTACCCCAACCTCACCCAAACATCCGTAATGCATCTCTCAGTGGTGCGTGTTGAGCAAGCACGCTCAGCGGAGGTGCAATGACTCGCTTAAGATAATCTTATCGTGCCGGTGATCTCACGGGCCCCTGGGGCACGATACGCAGCCCAGGAATAGGGCAACTGCGGCAGAGGGATCAACGCTTTTTTATTCTCAGCCGCTGCCGAGCGACACCCCCGTCCCCCCCAGATGTCGCGTCGCACGTGTCTCAGCCGCCGTCCTTTATTCCTCTTTGACGACAGAGGACGAACGCGGTGGGAGCGGGGGAGGGCTGCGGGGATGCGTGCTCACCTATGAGGGCCCAACAGCCATCGGGCACGAAAGCAAACCTTTGTCACCGGAGACGTAACAGCCAAACTGTGCTCTCGCTCAGAACCGGGACATGAAGCACACGAACCTCATGGCGGTACCCCGGCACTCGCATAATGTCCGTGATGCGGTCACGTTTAGTCTGTTGATGGTCGGCGATGCGGCAAACGACTCATCTCGACGAGCTGTACTCACGGTGCACCACTACGGTGCGTATGAGCGTTCAGGGTTTCAGCGCACCGATTTGGGATTGATTGGTACCCCAGTCGCGGAGTGAAGTACACCCCTGGAAAAAATAGCGTCCCAGAAATAAAATATTGAATTGCCTCTCCCATTTTGTATTATTTGGTACCCCAGGGTACCGCCATAAGGATCACCTGTTACCGTTCACGGGAAGACGCATTTCTGGAACGGACCACCGCATAACAAAGTTGATCGTTGAAAAAACATCAACGCTGTGGTCTTCAGAACAAACTGAAGCTTACGATAAACAAAGATCCGTCCTGTAAAAAAAAAATACAGAGACGTCCTGTTACTCTGCATGAAAATATTCGGCTTAGCAAGCGAGTCTGCCTTGCACAGTCAAGATCCACTGAGGCTAAGCATGAAATAACTTGATTAAAGGTATCTGGAACACAAAGTCAAATTAAAGAAAGCATTTGACTGATGATGTGTTAACCAGTCATTTAAACAACCAGCTGTCTCTACTCTCACAGCGGGGGGGGGGGGGGGGGGGGGGGCTAGAGGGACAAACCCGGCATATGGTGACCTGTGCGAGGGTGTGATGAGAGCCCGGGCTGAGAGAGGTTGGGGTGAAATGGAAAGGAGAGCACGGTGCAGGAGAGAGGGGGGGGGGGGGGTAGCGGTGGTGAATTGGGGCAAGCGACTGGGAAAATATTTTCACCTTGCTCCCGGACTAATTAGCACGCACAGACAAATATCTTCCGTGACATTGGTAAGTGCCGGAGCGCGTGCTGATCAGAGGGGCTGTTTTTTTGTTCTTGGGTTCAGGCTCGTTGAATATTATAATCACACACACACTGTGCGGACAGAAAGGCAATTGCTACAGATGGACAGCCTCCGTGGATCGCAGGCACGCGGCCACCACAAGCTCTTCCCCCCCCCCTTCAACCTCCGCTCCTCGTCCAGTGCCGGCACTCTGCCAAATTAATTTTCTATTCAATGCCTGTCTACAAAATTGCGCATTCGCGACAGAATAAAAACGTTGCCGGTCCTCGGCACGAGGACGGTTTGTGCCCTGCGGTGCAGACGTGTCGGCGGATGCCCTCGACGCGATTGATCGCTGTCCTCTTTGTACGGAGACCATGGCACCTGCCTACGGTTCCATTATTAGGACTGTGTTTATATCCGGCTCACTGTGCCAAACATCAACTTCCACACCACGCGCACACACTACAGACAAACGATAAACGCTCTACGTGCGTGAATGCCAATCACTGAAATGTACAGTTGCATGTTCAAAAAGGGAAGGACGGAATATCAAATTGGGTACAGCCTGCCGGAGAATATCAAAAGGAAACTTTATTGTTAAAGCCCCGAACATCAATACACTTTGCTTGAAAGACTTCAGAAAGATAGGCGGCATAAAATATGCCAAACAACAAATATGCCCAGATTACTTTCCAAGGTCTCCCTTATTAAAGACAGGTGGCTCTCAGATGGTGGAGCAATGAAATTACCATCCACTGATTTGTTTGGCCCAGCCGTGTTGTGCAGAATGCGATTCGACTGCATCGCGCGCGTGAAATAAAATATTTCTTCCCGGTCAAGCGTTGCTAAAAAAAAAAACGGACACGTACACAGCATAGGCTAGAAGCGCTGCTTAGCAACCGTCTGCCGAATGTCCCGGCCGGCTTATCACGCACGGCGCATTAGCCGTGCGAGCGCGCATTCCAACCCGACCGACCGCGCTCCGCTCACTCATCCGACAAGCGCCGCACGAACTTGAGCGGGCAGCCGTGGCACCCCCTCGCCTCCGCCGATGACCTCGTCGCCCGCGCACCCCGACCCCGCTGGTTGCGTAAGGCTTTTAGCGGTGGGCAAGAGCCTCGCTCGCACGCGCGGAGGAACTGTGGCACCGAGACGCGGGCCTATTCGAGCGCGACAATACAGTCCCGTAATTCGGTTTGCACCAGCCTGTTAGTAATGCCTGGGAATATTCTTTCTGGCACATTCAGATTTGGTGAGGATGGAAGAAATAAACAACATTTTGCTAAGTGCGTGCCCTCATTTATAAACCATCGTGTATTATGTTTGCGGTGGTTTTAGAAAAAAAAAATTCATTTCAAATCTGCGGAGGTGTAAACTGTGAATGTCGCGTGCGCACGCTCGAGGCACTTTGCCTAACACGCATCATTTACTCGGGAGACTCGTCATTTTTCAAGGCGCCGCGACGCAAGCGCGCACCGGCGTGACCACAGAAGCCGTCGCGAGAGAGCCGAGCGGAAAACGAGACGCCACGCGTCGGCCGCAAACCAGGGAAGGGGGGGGGCGTCAAAATAAATAGAAATAGAAGCGACACCAGCGGCGGGCAGCCTGCTGGTCTCGAGCGTGCTCGGCTTAGCCGCCGGGCCACACTGCGGGCCACCCTTGCTTTGACTCCGGGCCGCGGGGTTTGATGCGACTGTCCCGTCGTGTGACCCGAGGGAGAAGGGGGTTCAAATGAAGTCGGCGCCACAGCAGTGCACCTCGAGATATCGAGTGCCGAGCGAGCTGGAGCAAGGTTTCTCCTCAGAGGAAACGGCTTGGGGTCTTTTAAAGGAAAACACAACTCGAATTCCCACGCAGATATTAACTTGCTTGATATGCAATCTTGAACGGTTCTTTATAACCGTACGTGCATGTTCGTGTCAAAACGCTGGAGATTTTTGTTACGCGTAGCACAGAGACGCGGGAGAGCAGAGACAAGCGCTTGGGAAGACGGCCGGAACCGGCGCCATCGACTATTGCCAAAAGCTCTGGCGGTGCAACGTTGGGATGATTGGTCAACTCCATGAACGAGTGTTTATACATGCAGGAGGAAACCCGCGTAACCGGAGAAAACCAACGCGTGCGAAGGTGGAGAAAACACTCAACTCTTGTACGGCTGGAAATGATTCCACTTGCCATCATCTGCTGGCAAGCCAGGAAAGAGCAACTTCAGTGCCCGGGGGGGGTAGGGTGGGAGCTTCACGAATCTGTGCGATCCACCAACAGAGCACGAATGGACGGCACGCTCCACGTTCACAGCCTCTCACCTGCTCAGGCTCTCACCTATTAAGCCTCTCACCCGTTCAGTCTGTCGCCCGTCCAGGCTGTGGGGCGTGCGAGGGCTCCGAGCTCTACGCCTGGTTCAAACAAAACGTCCGGCCTGCTCGCGGGGGCTTCGCCGTTTGATGGGCGCTCGCGTCGCTCACCTCTCCGACAGCCTGCGGAGCTCGTGCAGGAGCCGGAAGTAGCCGGCGGGCGAGAGGCAGGCGGCGTGCAGCGCTCGCACCGGCGCGCTCCACAGGGCCCGGAACGGCGCCCACGCCGAAACGAGGGGCGAGAACGAGGCGACGCGCACGGAGCCGAGCGCGCACACCACCAGCACGGCGCGAGGAGAGCCGGGCCACGGGCAGCGCACCAGGTGGGCCGCGTGCACCTGCCGGGCGGGGGGGGGGGGGAGACAACGATGACAGGTTGGATGGGGGAAACGACGAGGACCCGTCATCGCCGTGGACCGTCGTCAGTCGTCGTCACCGGTGTCAGCCGTCGTCACCGGCGTCGTCTTTGTCCGGGATCGCCGTCGTAATTTTGTGTTTGCACGCCGTCTCAGTGCGTCGCGTGGTCTTCAGTTGTTTGCGACCGAACCAAAAAAAAATCCCAACCGTCCGTGTGTGCCCGAGGGAGTGGTCCATGTGTGTGTGTTTGTGTGTGTTTGTGTCTATTTGTGTGTGTTTGTGTGTGTGTGTTTGTGTGTGTTTGTGTGTGTGTTTGTGTGTGCGTGTGTGTTTGTGTTTGTGTGTGTTTGTGTGTGTGTGTGTGTTTGATGCACGCCTTTCGCACCGTGCGTAGCTAACCGTGCTAATCAGAGTGGAGGGGGCCGGGGGGCGGGGGCTGACGGCCGTCTGCCGAACTGATTTGGTCACAGACATTGGCTATGGCGCTGGTAAATGTTCGCCTTCTCTTCCCAACAAAGTACATTTTTCCTCATACAATACAGGACAGAGTGCTGGGAAGGTTGACAGAATATATCCACCGTGGCATTGTTATAGAGAACATAAATATGCATGAAACATTCACACGGCCGTTACAAAGGCCAGATTTGAATCACAATGAATTGCTCCACCGCTCCAAAGTGCGATGCAAAAAAAATAATTCCGTTAATAAAACTCAAACGGCACACAGCAGACGCGCAACTGTGCGCGCGTGCGTATAGTATGTCAAGAGCTCCATCGGAAATAACACGATGACATACACCTCCGGAGCCTTTTGTATGAGAATATAATCACGTGCGCACACACAGACACACACAAGAGGCAAGGCCACTGGGAAAGGCCCGAGCGCAGGCACACGAGATGAGCCATGTGGTCCTATGGAAAGAAATGGAGCGCTTGTTAGGAAACAGAGCGATGCCCCAATTTTCCACCTTCTCTGAACTCAGGAGAGCACAGTGTTCCGTGGAGTTTCTGTACCCGCCCCCCTGCATCCGACTTCGCGGTTTGTGCTCTGTATCGGCCTCCTCGTGAAATATATACTTTTTAATTGAGACAGGGCGATGCGTATTCATAGCGGCATCTACGATCATCACCGAAAGATATATTCCGCATGTCTGCAGCAGGTCATTCAGAACGACTCCCCTGCAAGGCGTGCTCACCTCCACCTGCACCTGTAAGAGAGGGCGTTCCCGCAGCTCCCCCGTCCTGACTTCACGCACAGCAGAGCCACGCACGAGTGTCAGAGCGTGAGATAAACGACAGATTTCTGTGCAGCCTGCCGAGGGCCCCCACTGCGGTCACCGATAAAGACAGACCTGCCGGTGCCACCGCAGCGCGCCTGCCGGACCCATTCAAGAGAGCGCCTCACCCGCCCCCCCCCCCTCGCAAAGGCTGCCTTGGCAGAAGCGAAGACGTCGAGTCTGTACAACAGCCCCGATAAAAGTGGCGCAGACCAGGTGGCCGTCCTACGAGTCTCTCTCTCAGAGGCGCCTTGTGGACGGTGGCTCACAGATCTCGCAGGCGTGCACGACAAGCACCCAGAGCAGGCGAGGGTGTTCTCTCTCGGTTACCAATCAGAGCAGGCGAGGGTGTTCTCTCTCGGTTACCACCCAGAGCAGGCGAGGGTGTTCTCTCTCGGTTACCACTCAGAGCAGGCGAGGGTGGTCTCTCTCGGTTACCACTCAGAGCAGGCGAGGGTGGTCTCTCTCGGTTACCACTCAGAGCAGGCGAGGGTGGTCTCTCTCGGTTACCACTCAGAGCAGGCGAGGGTGGTCTCTCTCGATCAACAGAACCAGGTGCTGGACTGGATCAGCCAACGGTGGTCGACACCGTGCAGAAGTTGAGAGGAAAAGCCACGAAAAAACCAGAACCGAGCCCTGAGCCCCTGTGAGCAGCGCCCACGCATCTGACACCGAGAGCTCTCCCATTGTTTTATTTTTAACAAAGTGGAAAGAGGAACCCCGCAGAGGTGTCAAGGGGCACGTGGGGTTCGGGTAACTCAGCTCTCTTTTGGGGGTGTTTATCAGCATTGGCACATTTATACCCCAAACCAAAGGGGATGCACGCACATGCTGCCACGCAAACCACCTTCACACGCACATGAGACAAGTGATAATCCCAGCTTCCTTCAACAAAAATTACAGTAAAGAATCAACAAGAACATAAGTCGCTCGCATAAATGTGACGTTAAACCCGCCACCACCCGACACAGCCCATTAGTAAGGTTTGTGTCGTAATCAAAACATGCCAATCAGTTACTAGTTCAGCACATCGGTGTGTTGGAGAGGAACCCCACTACAGCATTTACAATTCGGGTACCGTGATGTCTCGCCGCTAAATAACAACCAGCCTCATCAGGAATCCTCCTCCTGTTTCGGTCAATAACGTGCGAAGACCAGAGTGAGGGGGCGTTAATGTCGCCATGTAAATTACAATGGCTACAGGGACTCCTCTACTTATGGACATTCGATTTACAAACTTTCAGAGATACGAACAAACCTGTCCGTATGTCCAGTTGCCTGTTCGGACCGAGAGTCGTGAGTTCAATCGCCACGCAATAGATGGCGGTGGCGGCATCTACATCTGCAGAACGTGAAGAACCAGGAGATGATACAACTTTTAAAGCCATTCCCCGTGTTTAGTGTACATGCCGTACAACGTGTTTGGGATCGACAGGAGTAAAGTTGGACGACTTATGAACAAATTGACTTGCGAACAGACCTCTGGAAGTATCGGAGGCCCTGTATCTATTGTTAGCTGGGCTATTTTAGTTAGAGCAGCATCATCTGCCTACGCCTGCCTGGCAGTCCCCACAGAGTCCGGCGACCAAGGGGAAGACCTACGGAGCAGACGGTGGGGTCGCCGTGAGGGCCGCTCTTGGAGGTCGCTCGCTGCGTGTCTGCGGGATCTGGCGGAGGTTAAAGGGCATGAGAAATAAGAATAGGTTTTACCCTTTCTGGCAATAAAACACGAGGCGTGAAGATGTTCAAACACCAGATACATTTTGCATTGTATCTTTGAAACTGATTGGCCGACACCAAAGGTCCATGATATAAGGTGAAGAGCGTGGCGGAGTGAGCTGTGGTGGTGGTGGCATCAACAGCTTTGTCCACGACGACATCTCTCTTGACCTGCGTGACATGAAGTTTAGACAATCTGACACCTCCGGGTAGGTCAGGGGGGGTCACGACATTCGGCGGCTCGTACCGATCCTGTCCTGCGAGACGGGCGGCAATCGCGGACCCGCGGCATCGTCCGCGCAGGTGGCGGCACGCAGAGCGCGTTGACGACGGAAAGCAAGACCGTGCGGCTGAAGCGGTTTAGTTTGATGCACAATTTAGCCTGACAGCTCATTCATGTTTCCACGGGCTTATATTACAGCTCTGTCTTTGTTAATACACCCATCCATCAAGCTAGCGTCGGCCATCTCACTCGCAAGCAAGGTGACGCACAACAACCCAACACGCATGCGAGCATTTATGTATGTTGAACCTCTTTCACACCGTACGTAGCCAAACGCGCTAATCGGATGCTAAAACATCATCGAACGCCAACATGCGCAAAACCACATCGGAGGCGCCCACTTGCATCCTTCTGATGCAGTCAATTCAGCATGAAAGGCGTATGTGGCACCGTTCCAACGGGAAAATATATACGTCCTGAACACTGCCAGGCCAGCTCCTTATCTCCCGTTTGAAGCGCTATCTCAGTCATCCCTGGCATGAAATAAAAAATAACTCCAAAAATAAGGGTTGACGCGCGGAATTGTATTTATTAAGATGCACACGGACAGCCCCGTGAGATAATGGAATCAGAGAAATGTGCCAGAGGCCAGGGTCACGAGTGGCGTCTCGCTCGCACCGCACTTGCAACGCGTGCACGTGCAGGGCGGAGGAGGCGGGTTTGAGTGATGACTAATTTTACAATTTGTTATCGATTAAATAATTATTTCCCCACCCCCCTCCCCCCTTTTTTTTCCTAGGACACCGAGATGAAATGCGACGTGTGGGTTTCGGTCGTGACGGATGGCGACGACGGCGAGGGGCTGAAATGAATTTCGCGTTGAATGCAATTTGTGCGGAGAGAAATCTAAAGAGATTATTGAAAAGGAGTGGTGGTGGTGCAATGCAGACAGTGGTAATGACAGCATTAGAACCACATTTTACACTAACATGAACACATCGTTTCATTGTAATGTCGCCACTTAATTCTTACGAGCCTTCGAAATAGTTCAACGCACCCCCACGTACGTTCACAAGGACTGGAAATAAATAGCTAAATAACCGTACACACCAGAGCCACCGTAACAAAAAATACGACACAACTGCTCGTAATTGTGGTGCGACACGGCTGTTTTCTAGAATCTTAGGGAGGGAGGGAGGGGTGGCCGGTGGATCATGCAGGGATCGATACAGAGTAATGACCGTGCAGGAGCACGTTTGACGCCAGTTGCAAAGGTTCGTGGTTCGTTATAGCGGTAGACTGCCCTGGTTAATACTGCAGGTGCATCAATTAATAAAACACGATGCGTCCTCAGCCTCGTAGTGGACTTCAAACAAGAAGGGCAGGTCATCGTGCGCCGGCTTCACAGTTCCAATTTGCCAAATTAAAAAAAAAACTTGCAATCATCGAATTGGAAAACAAATCACAATTGTCGCCACCCCCCACCCCCTTCCTGCGAAAACGTAGCAGGAACTTTTTGACGTAAAACTTATTGAGACACAGTGAGGCTTTCCTGGGTAAGCAAGTGCAATAACAATAAGAACTATTGGAGGCGGTAAAGCGTTTATGTATAGACTTATCTGTACAGAGTCCGAATATCCTTCCCTCTTTGGGTACGACACGGGGGCGGCATCCTGTTACAACCGAGTATCACCAGTTCGTGATTCGGGGCAAACAAGGGGGGTCAACATTTTTGTTGGGATACACGACCGAAGGGAGGCAA